AAAGTATTTGTTTTGTAATGATGTATTTAATGTGTGTTTAATGTTGTAACAGTGTTTACTGAGTGTGACATTGTGACCTGTGTTTATGTGTAGTGACACAAAGTTGTGCAGAAATGTGTAGGAGTTGTAGAATGTTTTGTTAGCGATGTACTGTTGTGGTGTAATGATGCATTTGTAATGTGTATTTTTGTTGTATTTTTTGAAGAAATGTGTATTGTTGTAGTTGTGTATATGTGTTAATGTGTTTGTGTATGTGTATTGTAATGATGTAATAAAGAATGTGTAGAAGTGATGTATGGGTTTTGTGATGTTATTTTCTGTGTTTTTCCCTGTCTTTGTACTGTTGTACGTCTCTGTCTCTCTTTCTGTCTGTTTGTTTTTCTCTCCATCTCTCTCGCTGTGTGTGTTTCTTTTTCTGTCTCTATGTTTTGCATCTTTATCTTGTTCTGTCTCAGTTTTTCAGTGTCTCTGTTTTTCTCTGTCTCTCTATACCTGTCTTTGTTTTTTCTGTGTTTCTTTATCTCTCTGTCTGTGTCTCTCTCTCTGTCTTTGTGTTGTTTTGTCGTTTTATTTTTCTGTCCTTTGTTGGTGTTGTTTGTTCTTTGTGTCTCTGTTTTTCTCTGTCTCTCTGTACCTGTCTTTGTTTTTTCTGTGTTTCTTTATCTCTCTGTCTGTGTCTCTCTCTCTGTCTTTGTCTCTGTCTGTGTGTCTGTTTTTGTCTGTCTTTGGCTCTTACTCTGTTGTTCTTTATCTGTTTCTGTGTGTATCTCTCTCTGTGTTTCTGTGTCTGTTCTGTCTCTTTCTTTTTCTCTCTGTCTTTATTGTTTCTCTCTGTTTCTTTTTCTCTGTCTCTCTCTCTATCTCTGTTTCTTTTTCTCTCTGTCTTTGTTTTTCTGTGTTGTTCTTTATCTGTTTCTGTGTGTATCTCTCTCTGTGTTTGTCTCTGTTTTTCTCTTTCTCTCTCTGTATGTCTCTGTTGTTCTCTGTGTTTCTGTCTCTGTTTTTCTGTATCTGTCTCTGTGTGTTTCTCTCTTTGTTTGTTTTTCTTTGTTTGTTTTTCTCTGTCTCTGTCTCTGTTTCTTTTTCTCTCTGTCTTTGTTTTTCTGTTTCTTTTTCTCTCTGTCTTTGTTTTTCTGTTTCTTTTTCTCTCTGTCTTTGTTTTTCTGTTTCTTTTTCTCTCTGTCTCCTGTTTGTGTTTCTGTCTCTTTCTTTTTTCTTTGTCTTTGTTTTTCTCTGTCTCTGTCTCTGTTTCTTTTTCTCTCTGTCTCCTGTTTGTGTTTCTGTCTCTTTCTTTTTTCTGTGTCTTTGTTTTTCTCTGTCTGTGTTTCTTTTACTCTGTCTCTCTCTGTGTCTGTTTCTTTTTCTGTCTCTATCTTTTTCTATCTTTGTCTTTTTCTGTCTTTGTTTTTCTCTCTTTGTCTTTTTCTGTCTTTGTCTTTTTCAGTCTCTATCTTTTTCTGTCTTAGTCTTTTTCTATCTTTGTCTTTTTCTGTCTTTGCCTTTTTCTGTCTCTATCTTTTTCTATCTTCGTCTTTTTCTGTCTCTCTGTTTTTCTGTCTGTCTTTTTCTGTCTCTATCTTTTTCTATCTTCGTCTTTTTCTGTCTCTATCTTTTTCTATCTTTGTCTTTTTCTGTCTTTGTTTTTCTCTCTTTGTCTTTTTCTGTCTTTGTCTTTTTCAGTCTCTATCTTTTTCTGTCTTAGTCTTTTTCTGTCTCTGTTTTTCTATCTTTGTCTTTTTCTGTCTTTGTTTTTCTCTCTTTGTCTTTTTCTGTCTTTGTCTTTTTCTGTCTCTGTTTTTCTATCTTTGTCTTTTTCTGTGTTTGTTTTTCTATCTTTGTCTTTTTCTGTGTTTGTTTTTCTATCTTTGTCTTTTTCTGTCTTTGTTTTTCTCTCTTTGTCTTTTTCTGTCTTTGTCTTTTTCAGTCTCTATCTTTTTCTGTCTTAGTCTTTTTCTATCTTTGTCTTTTTCTGTCTTTGCCTTTTTCTGTCTCTATCTTTTTCTATCTTCGTCTTTTTCTGTCTCTATCTTTTTCTATCTGTCTTTTTCTGTCTCTCTGTTTGTCTGTCTGTCTTTTTCTGTCTCTGTTTTTCTATCTTTGTCTTTTTCTGTCTTTGCCTTTTTCTGTCTCTATCTTTTTCTATCTTCGTCTTTTTCTGTCTCTATCTTTTTCTATCTTTGTCTTTTTCTGTCTTTGTTTTTCTCTCTTTGTCTTTTTCTGTCTTTGTCTTTTTCAGTCTCTCTCTCTCCTCTAACTTAATCTTTTTCTATCTCTGTCTACTCTAACTTAATCTTTTTCTATCTCTCTCTCTCTCCTCTAACTTAATCTTTTTGTCTCTCTCTCTTTCTAACTTAGTCTTTTTCTCTTTCTCTCTTTCTAACTTTCTTTCTTTCTTTCTATCTTTGTCTTTTTCTGTCTCTATCTTAATCTCACACCAATAAACCCCAGTTGATAAATACCCTAGTGGTATGTGGGGTATACAAAGCCTATAAGGGCCAAAAGAGCCTATAAAAGAGTAGAAACAAAAATAAGCATGTATGAACTGTAAGGCCCCCTGTGGGTGGTCTGTACAGGCTAGAAAGGCTGAGAAAAGGTGTAAGGCTATAGCCTTGCAGCTTTTTCCAGGCCTCCACATCAATGGGGTGAGGCTGAAGGCTGTAAGTTGAATATTATAGAAATGGAATACTGAGTCACAGACAGCATCTTTTGTAGTGCTTGTGATAATGAGGAACATTTTTTTTGTTGTTGTTTATTTGTCAATAGTCTGGAGAAGTCCTGAAGAAAGCTAAGGAGCACAGCGGGCACATCAACGACATCCAGACGTCTGTAGACCTCACCATGTTCATCAGTGCCTCAGAGGACAACACCAAGGTGAGAACTCTCGTGAAAGAGTCATGTCCAGTTGTGACTACTTTGTAGCTGCTTTTAAGGAGAACCTGTTTGTGTTAACACGTGGCGTCTGCAGGTTCTTCCAAGCTGATTACGAGGAGGAGTTTGGCAGGGGTCAAAGGTCATTCTGGTCCCATCAACTGTGTGGCTTTCTACCCTGACGGCAAGAGGTAAGAGACCAACACAGCTTTTGATTGTTCCAAAAATGGTTACATCGAGGGCAACTGGACAATGTAGGTTTTACCTCTTGGATGAGAAATGTCTTTAAAAAAAAACCTACTTTGTCCAGTTGCCCTTGATGTAACTAGTTTTGGATAAAATGACTGAAAACCTACACAGACAGCTTTTGATTGTGTCTTGTATGCTTTTGTCTTAACAGATGGTGCAGTGGAGACTCTTTATTTGAAGCAGATCACTGGGTGTTTGCTGGACTTGTGAGTATTTTACTGAAAAATGTTATTCAGCTCATTGTGCCTTAATGCAGTCATTTTTTTGCAACACTTAATCTTTTTTGGCCTTTCATTGTGCCTTAATGCTATTGTCAGATACTTAATAGAGTCACTTTTTTGCAAGCCTTTGGTCTTTCATTGTACCTTAATGGAGTCACTTTTTTGCAACCTTGGTTGGTATATTAAAGTTCTTTTTGTTAGTTTAAGTTTTTTTTTAGTTTAAGTTTCTTTGGTTTGTTACATAAACTTAGTAAAAATAACTGACCCAACCAGAACACTTCCACAATGAACAGAACAACAAGAAGTTTTTAATCTTTTATTAGCAAAACACTTCACATTTAAGTTTACATACTCACAACACTACTTCTGTCTACCATGTGCTCACAGGATTCAACAAAGGTCCTTCTCTTCCTCATCCTTCACTTCTGCAAAGACAAAGTGAATACAATAACACTACTAATTGTCTCTGAAGATTCTCAGTCATCCAGGTCATGGTCAAGTTTAAAAAGTTCTGTTGGGCAACTGGACGTGAATTTTCTAAAAGAAGACGTTTCAGCTCTAATCCAAGAGGCTTCTTCTGTTCTGACTGGTGGTGAGTACTGCAGATATATACTCTAGGTGTGAAAGAATAATTCTACTTCCGCTCCACCCTGTTGGGTGGGGCCTTGGGGTCCTTCAGTGTGGAGCCAGACTGGGCTGCTTCAACACCACCATTAAAAGGTATGAAAAGAAATGGATTGAAGCCGTTCACAGGTATTGACAAAGGAGTGAGTGACACCAACTGGACAAATCCAGTACAGGATTGATGGAAAAAGTTTTAGAAGTGTAAAGTTTATTGAATAAATCAGCAGTTTAATTTTAAAATGTAGAAAATGATGGCTGCCTTTTTATGTTGAGAAATATCCACATCAGGTGGAGTTTCTTAGTGCACTTAAACAATTTTGTTTGTTTAAATGCCATAAGTAATTAAAACCATGTAAAAAGCTAAGAAATAAAAACACCCCACAATGTGAAGATGAATGAGAGCAAAAAAGACCCGAGCTCTCTTTTACGTGACAAATGAAACGAATCTGTGAGAACGAGGCGAAAGATTAGTTCACAGAGAATGATTCGTTCACAGCGAAATATTAGTTCACAGCAAAAGATTAGTTCACAGAGAATGATTCGTTCACAGCGAAATATTAGTTCACAGCAAAAGATTAGTTCACAGAGAATGATTCGTTCACAGCGAAATATTAGTTCACAGCAAAAGATTAGTTCACAGAGAATGATTCGTTCACAGCGAAATATTAGTTCACAGCAAAAGATTAGTTCACAGAGAATGATTCGTTCACAGCGAAATATTAGTTCACAGCAAAAGATTAGTTCACAGAGAATGATTCGTTCACAGCGAAATATTAGTTCACAGCAAAAGATTAGTTCACGGAGAATGATTCGTTCACGGCGAAAGATTAGTTCACAGCGAAAGATTAGTTCACAGTGATTCGTTTGCAATGAAAGATTAGTTCACAGTGAAAGATTAGTTAGCAGAGAGTGATTTGTTCGCAGTGAGTGATTTGTGAGTGATTCGTGAGTTCAATATGAATAAATATTTAATATGACTCGGTAGTCACGAGTCACGAATCTTTCATATGACTCGGGAGTCAAGACTCATATGAAAGATTCGTTTATTTTGAACGAATCACTCGCGAACGACACATCACTAGTGGAGACGGTTGTTGTTGTTTTTCATGCAAGAAAGTGCTTAGAAAAGTACCGAAATCAGAGTGGGAAAATGGGAACAAGAGATGACGATTACGACTACCTATTCAAAGGTATTTTCTTTCAGTCAACATTGTTTACTGACAGAGTAAGTTCTCTCTGTAAACGCTTCGGTGACAGCGGTGAGGGAAGTCATCTGCTAAAGTTAGCTCAGCTGTTAGCATAGAGACAGAAGACTCCATCTATATTCCATAACTCTAATTATCAACATTTGGGTTATCTTAAATTTAACTTTTGTAACAGTAGTTCTTCAGCACGGGTTTCTCGTTTTTCACAAATATTTCACTGAATTCAGAAGCCAAATAGGACTGGTGAGTCAACACAAATTTACAAACGGCTTAATAAATAACTAGCATGCTAACATGGTAGCTACAGTGTCATAAAAGTAGGGCTCTCGATGTCGGACCGAAACAACATTTGCACCGCATTAAATATGAGTGTATATGACATGAAAATACCAGTAAACAGTCACATTGCTGTAAATACAGGAAGAGGAATAATGCTCTGTTAACGACGTGAGTGAAATAAAAAAAATGTATAAGAAATAATTTGATATGCTGTGATGTTATTGCCAAAAACACAGTACAGTATGTCTTAAAATAAAAACGCAAAATAATTGCAAGATCCTGCTTAAAGCCTTAATTTGTCCTTGATGTTGTCATTTAAATTTTTTTATCATCACAAAAAACCTCCACGTAACCACAGATGAAGATTATCTACTGTGACTCGCCCCGGTAGAAAAGAGGAACTGAAAGTTATTCTTCTCTCTTCGTTATTCCTTAGTGTGCCATCCAACAACGATGGTGCTGAGGTACCTGAAATTACATTTTTACTGTTATCCATCAGGTTGGATGTTTTTCCATTTCAGATCCAGGGTCCTAAAATTAAAATTTAGAGCGGTGTCTGTTATAGTAGATAACAAGGTTCAGGTGCACATAATCAAATAGGTGCTGTGGCTCATGTCTTGTCAGCCATTTTCATTTTAAGGAAACTAACCAGTGTGTAACTATCTCGTATTCATTTCAGAGTCGAATGGTGAATCATATGACCTTGTCCTGTACTCCATCTGTGGAGATACTTTTGTATTCAATAACTGACTTTTTTAAAGGTTTGATCTCGCTGGCAAAAGTGAAGCCACTCTGTAATGTACAGCATTTGTTTGTTGTTGTTGTCATCATAGTTGTGCTGATTGGAGATTCTGGAGTGGGGAAGAGCAACCTGCTGTCTCGATTCACAAGAAATGAGTTTAACCTGGAGAGCAAGAGCACCATAGGGGTGGAGTTTGCCACCCGCAGCATCCAGGTGGACGGCAAGACGATAAAGGCTCAGATTTGGGACACGGCTGGACAGGAACGCTACAGAGCAATCACCTCAGCGTACGTTTACGTACTTTGTGAGTCCGTACACCAGTGCACAGTATATTGATTAAGTTGTACACTAATTTGGTGTCCTGCTGTTACTAGGTATTACCGGGGCGCAGTTGGTGCTCTTCTGGTGTACGACATCGCCAAACACCTAACGTATGAGAATGTAGAACGCTGGCTCAAGGAGCTGAGGGACCACGCTGACAACAACATTGTCATCATGCTGGTTGGAAACAAAAGTGACCTCCGACACCTCAGGGCGGTGCCCACTGATGAGGCTCGGGCCTTTGCAGGTAATTGTTATTTGGTAGTTGCACGGAAGAAAGATTTTTTGATTAAACTTTTTATTTGGAAAATAGAAGGGTTATACGTGTCACAGTTACATTTCTATACATGTCACATCTTCATACTAAGTAGCAAAAAAGGACAGTAAATAAATAATAACAATGTAATAGTAACATAGTAAATAGTAGTAGTAATTAACTAAGGACAGTGGGAACAGAATATAATAATGATTAATTTTATACAAATCATAAACAAAAAATACCAAAAATGTTGATGATGATATATAGTGGCAGTAAAAAAAAACAAAATAAAATTATAACATATTAATAAGTTTAGCTACCCTTCCTTTTATCTCTCTCTTTTCTTGATGTATTGTTATTTATAGTGAAACAGCAATGATGTTAGCACAGTAAATAATCCTAATTGGTAAACAAGAAAATGTAACTTTATGTGTAGGTAACACTGTGAGGTATCCATTGCAAAAAGTTTACTTTTTCTTTCAGAAAAGAACACTCTCTCCTTCATTGAAACCTCGGCCCTGGACTCGACAAATGTAGAAGAAGCCTTTAAGAACATTCTGACAGGTAACTCAGCTCGAGCATGAAATGCTGAGCTCAACTTTTCTTAAACCACATCTGCTGTGTAAATTCTAGTTTAACTGATACATCACTGTCTTTCTGTCACAGAAATTTACCGTATTGTATCTCAGAAGCAAATATCAGATCGATCTGGTCATGACGATTCTCCAGGCAACAATGTCGTGGACATCAGTGTGCCTCCAACCATGGATGGGCAGAAGGGCAACAAACTGCCCTGTTGTCAAGGCATGTGATTTTTTTCTGTCATACTGTTTTACCCCAGCTGTCAGAACAATATCTTCATCGGTTCTGAAGTCTACGATTCAAAACTTTCGGAGGTGACATTCCTTTTTGTTGGTCTTGTTGTCATTTGTTTGCCTTTTGTCCTCTGAGGTAAGCGAAGGCTAAAGGTTCGTGTAACTGTATGTGCTCATTTAATCCATTACAAGGACACTGTGTTTCCTCTTTTGAGGGGGTGATTACAAAGCTGTTGTGAACATTGACTTCCTTTTCATAAAGTGGCGTTAATGGTCCTATTGATCCACTCCTGTTGAAGGAGTGATGAGGGATTAGCTGGCCTTGTGTTGTCACTGCTCCAAGGGGATTCTGTTTTCTTTTTTTTTCTCAGCATGCAATAACACCGTGTCTCCCGCAGCATCTTTTTAAGGGGACTTTCACTTCATCTCCCATTGACCCGATTCTGTCCATCATACAATACTAATGTAGAGAAAAGGTGAGAAGCAGGTTGGTGCATCAATCATTTGGAGTACGTGCTTCGTGTTAAGGTTCTTGTTGCCTTCTCAGTGTCAGGATCTTCTTTCAAGCCCTTTGCCGGTGTGGCAATAAATCAGCACGAGCCAGCAACCAGACTGCCTGTGATTGTTTGATTTAATGTGGGCTGATGTGAAACAAATCAAGTGTTTTTCTGCATGTTTTTTTTTTTTGTTTCGTTTTGTTTATGTGTGTTAATCATATTGATAAAAAATTGCAGTGATACCAAAGAAGAAAAAACAGCAGTGTATCAGATTTAGGTTTCCTCATTTATCATATTGAAGGCTGCTATGTGTGGTGATGATTGTTAATGCTAGAAAAATAGAAATAAAATGCTGTTAGGCAAAGGGTTTGTTTAAAAAAACAATTGTGAAAATATGTGATGAAACCACATTAACCTGGTTAGAACCAGCCCGGTGTCTAGGTCAGGTGGAACTCGTACAGCACGCAGGCACAAAATAAAAAAAAATATATACTTGCACTTGTCCAAAATCTTCAGTGGAACTTATCACCTTATATTTTTAATGCACTTGATTGTTTTTTTTTTTCTTATCAGTTATAGCGAATGTTTGTGCTGGTTGACATCTATTAAAGGAGAATGGATAAAGCTGTGTTTTTCACTGAGAAGCAGTTGTTTGTTGGCAGTGTAACTGAACATGACAAATGGAAAGTGTTTACAGACAGTTTATGTTTGACTGAACTCCATCGTGTCTGTTGGTGACATTTCACAGAGGGCAAACTGAGATTGTTTTGCTACCTGATGCACAAAAATGACTGATGCCTAAATAAAATCTTATTCACAGAGCTTGTTTGCTTTTCTGTAAAGTACGGACTTAAAGCAACCGATTTTTCGGACATTGTTTTTCATCAATGTTTTAACAAATTTACCAACCAAACAACCACAGTTTGGTCATGCCTGCTCTCTCTTGAAGCAACTAAAAGAAATTACTAATTAAACTCTTTAATAATAATGAAAACAACATATTTGAATGACATTTTACACATGGCAAGATGATTTTCAGTAAAGTTTTGTATGATGTGCCAGTGCTTTCAAGATGGCCGCCAGGTAAGAAGATTGTTTTTTCTTCTATGTTAAAAGTTAAAGTTTCTTCTGTCTAGACTCCAAACATGATAGTAATAATTATCATTACCAATACAACTCGTTTTCCACATTAAGAATGTTTGATACGTTTTTTTTAAAAGAAAAAATAGACAAATAATGTCTATCTAGGATCATGTAGTAAACATTTGTTAAGACTCTAGTCTTGCTTGTTTTTGGTGATATTTTGACATGTTCAGATATGATAGTTTTTAGCACAAATGATTGACTTGGCAGCATGTTTTGGGGCATAAATTGCATTTGGGACTTTTTATTTTTTGTATTTTTTCTAATAGTACACAGTACTCAATAAAAAAGCAGTTGTTAAAGTGTTTTTTAAATAGCACTTAGAACTAATAAATTGTTAATTTTGTAAAATAATGTTTTCAGTATCGCTATTGTTTTTGTTATTTGTGTTTTTCCTTGGGAGAGACTCTGTTTTTCTACTTCTTTCGCAGACATCTGTCGGCTCCCGTGACGTTTAATGCGCAGCTGACGTTGACGTTTGTGGTGCATTTAAAGCCCTCTGAAAGCGGAAGTCTGTTTTCTAATGTTTCTTTTCTACCTGATTGCTGGTGGTTATGCTGTATGGATATTTAGCTGACTGGGCTAAACAGCTCTATACATTTTAGAATTTCTATCCTAATGCAAACACACGAATTGACGTGACAGGAGAAGCCACCCGAGTGTTTACAGGGCGTTAATGCCTGTCGGTGTGGAACGATATACCGAAACGACAGCGGGGTGAGTTAATGAGTTTTTCTCTTAAAAGCAGTAGACAGCTAACAGCTACAGACAGCTAATAGACGTCACAGCTGGGAGACAAAAACTGCAGTAGGTATTCGCATGTCCACAGACATAGACAGCACACGCATTCTGACGTTCATGTGAATCCATTGTTTTATCCCAAGCATGAGAAAGCAAGCTAGCTTAGTGCTCTGCAGTAGACGATAGTCACCATCACAGCTGGAACAGCTGTCTGCAGAGGAAACCTCTGTTCGCTACTTTAAGAATATATATATATATATATATATATATATATATATATATAGTATCATTAGTTTGGTTTTTCGTCTATAATAACTGCATTTGTGTGTTTTTTTATCTGTGAAAGTAAATGTTTTCATTAATACTCATTAAGCAGGAATCTGAGACATATTCAATAAAAAATACATTTTCTGAACGTTATCTTAAAAAAGTTGATAAATGTTAGCACCGAGTATAATAATGATTATAATAATCCACATAGATTACAAATGTCTGAGCCGTTTTTTCGTGTTATTTTTCTGACTGTTCTGATCTGTTGACAGCACTTACTACTAATGACGAGGTTTAAGAAGAAAATAAAATCTTGTTTATGATTGGCGGGAGGGGGGGGGGTTAAAAACAGGGGCACAAATCCCTTTATTGACTCCAAGATTTTGCTTTAACATCTGTCACATTAAACACCAGTTTTTAAAAAAATGCAACAACAACAAGCACCAATGACCAATAAAAAGGTACAGTACAGTAGAGTACTGATGGCACCACTCCTATTTTTCATTTTTCATTATTTTCATGAAAAGGAAAGGGCTGCACTGGATTCTAACAATTAAATCCAACACTAAATATTATACTAATTTTATATGTGCTTTAATTAACTAAAACTAGCTTGAAAATAAATTTTATTCTCATTTATCTATTTATAATAATGTTCACACATGCACTCATTGACCTTTGGTTAATAAAGAGTGGAGTTTAGTTTGGAATGAGGCGTAATAAAGGAAACAGATGTTAAAACAAAGTGAAAAAATGCAAATAAAATGTAATCCTATCATAAGGTGGTAGAGCAGTGATCATCAACTGGTGGCCCGCGGGCCAAACAATCCTGCCCACGACGGGATTCCAAAACTGTGGGGATTAAATTTTCAAAGAAAATTTAAAAGAAATATGGAAACTTTTAAAGGATATGTTGTTGCAGTATAAATGTAGTGTTTCAGACAGTCAGAGAACAAAAGTAAATGTGCTTTTCTCTTGTTCTCGTATCTTAATGGTGGTGGTAGGGGGTTATCAGAGAGGAGACAGCTGTTTATCACACTGCTCTACGTCACACTCACAGACACTTGCTGATTAGCAGACGCTGTGAGAGGACTGGCCTTCTCCCAGATGGGTGCTCCTCCTTTACATAAGAATTTATAGGCATACGAGGTTGTCACACAGGAATCTGAAGGACATCTGTCATAACTCAGGGCTGAGTTGGACCTCGTTTTTTCAAACCAAAAAATGAATTCAAATAACTGGTAATGTGACGTTGTTGTTGTTGTTGTGTGATTTACATTTGTTTTTACTGGTCATTCAATTCTCACAGTAACTTGAATCACAAAGTCTCAGTGGTTCTCTCTCTGATTTGGTAGAACCTGACTAGTCCTCATCATTGGGAGAACAGAGTCTCCGCTTTTCACCCCTCCCCCCATCAAGTGGGCAAGTGTCAGGACACAGTTACCATGATGACAGGCGGCTGTTGCCACCTGCCTGGTTCTCTGTGTGACTGTGCCAGCAGCACGGCTGTGTGGAAGAGTGTGGAGGAAGGCATCAGTGACGGGTGCCAAGGGCATTATGTCACCCAGGTCACGGCCATCGATGGACGGTTGTTGTCGTCTGTGCTGAAGCCCACTGGAACGCAGAGGTAAACTTTAACTGTTTGGTGCTCGGTGTGGATTCAATCTTTGAGAGATGCCTTCAAAATCTTGACCTTTGCTTATCAAAACTTCACGCCAAGTTTGTAAACTGTGGAACTGTTGGGCACAATCTATAACAAAACAACAGTTTTAGATAAAGTCTCTCTTAGATGCTTGGCCAGTGACTGTGATATATTTATATATTATTTTTCAGATGTTAATGAATGTTCGCAGAATAAAAATGAGGTAGTGTAGGCACTGAATAGATTCAAACCCTGTGCCTTTTCCCTGTCTTCTCAGTGATGGCCCAATATGTCGTATCTGTCATGAAGGGGGCAGCCACGAGTCTCTCCTCTCACCCTGTGACTGCACAGGCACCCTGGGTGCGGTGCACAAGAGCTGCTTGGAGCGGTGGTTGTCGTCCTCCAACACTAGCTACTGTGAGCTTTGCCACACAGAGTTCAACATCGAGCGCCGGCCCAGGCCTCTGACAGAGGTAACTGCCCTCAGTGGTTTTTCTTCGGCTGTCATATGTATAGGCTTCTTTTAGGATTTTCTGTGGAAGGGATGAAAGACAGTACTGACTATTGTGGCTTGTTATATACATATAGATATACAGTATATAGATACATAAATACAGATATACACATATACATACACAGTTGTATGTGTATGTATATACATATGTCACAATATGCCACAAAATGCATATTGAAGAAGAGAAAAACATCGCGCACCAGTCAGCTACAGTGCCCTCTAGCGGCTGTCAGTGTGATAATAACAAACGTGAAATTATATATTTAAGTCGCAAACCTAGACAAGGGATGAAAAAAAATGCAACTCATAGTCCGGAAAATATGATATGAATTTTTTTCTTATTTTTTCTTGTACTTATTACTACTTCAGACCACAATTGGTATCATATCTGTCGTCTGTTAGTGACCCACATTAGACTCAGTACAGTCACCCATAATTTCACAGTCTGTGTCACTCTCCCCTGAGCCAACCAGCCATGTGTTTCTATATCTTGTAATACATCTTTCTAAATCCTTTAGATATATATATATAATTATATGTATACATATATTTTGATTCTACAGTGGTTGCAGGATCCTGGTCCCCGCAACGAGAAGAGAACCTTGTTCTGTGACATGGTGTGCTTCCTGTTCATCACACCTCTAGCAGCCATATCAGGCTGGCTGTGCCTGAAGGGCGCTCAGGACCACCTCCAGCTCGGCAGCTGGCTGCAGAGCGTGGGCCTCATCACCCTGACTATCGCCCTGTTTACCATCTACGTGTTGTGGACCTTGGTAAAGAAAACACTGTCGGTAGAAGTGGAAATAGTTCGAATAAATTCCCGATCTCACCTGGTCTTGTTTCTTCTTCTCCTCCTCCTCTCTGCAGGTGTCCTTCCGCTACCACTGTCAGCTGTACTCCGAGTGGAGACGAACAAATCAGAGAGTGTGTCTGCTTGTGCCTGAAGGGAAGGAGTCCAACTCTTCCCAGCATGCATTGCTCTCCAGTAAACTGATGAAAAAGCTGGCAAGTGAGAGCATAGTATGAAAACAAACGGACGGCTGATTGTCAGTGAGTCGTGGCTGCCTGAGAGGGAAAAGAAGCACTTTTTGTCTCTTTTTTTTTGTTGCTTTTTTTAGCATTAAGGAAAGGAGTCAGAGTTGCCGCGACAAAAAGCCAGTAGTGAATGTGAAGGATGGACCAAACCAGCATTTTTTAAAAATGGAATATAAATGTTTGTTCTTAGTTTCAACAACCACAGGAGATAATGATCAACACAGCCTTCCTTATGGGTGAACTGTCATAATCAAACCGGAACCGTCTTGGGTTTGGACTAATCTTCTCTTTACAGTATTGTCTTTGCACAGTGTTTTGAAGCACACAAGTTGACGGCTTCACACTTTTTGGATTCCGACACACATTAACATGAAGCACGACCGGACGAAGGTGCAGAAGAACACGTTGCACTTTGAGGAACCTCGTTCAGCATGCACAGCCATGCATGGAACAGCTGTTTAGGACCGTGTGTTTTTTTACTCTTGTGGTAATGTAATGTACATTTTATTTTATACTACTGCAGTGAGGTTCTAAAGTACTGTGTCCTCTCAGAGGATCGTGTACCATCAGCACTTAACGGGTGAATCTTCATGTCCTTATAGACTGAGGGGAATCCTCTTCCGAATGGCTTTTAGAGGAACATTTCCTGCATTTCTTCTTGAATAATCTCTGACGGCCTGTTGTTCTGTTTACAGTAGTTTGTGATTCTGTGTGCAATGACCAGAATTGTTGGTGTTTGGTGTTCCCTTTAGTGTTAAATATCAACCTTTAATTTAACTCTCTCTCTGAATGGTTTTATGGAGTAAACTTTATGCAAGTTTGTTGCTTTTTTTTTCACTTAACAGGCCACGAGACGTTTACACAGTGTTCCATGTACAGTATGTCCATTTGATGGCTGTTGTCTTCTTTGCCAACTCCCCTTAGCACACTGTGATGATACAGAGTCGTGTTGACTGTGTTTTGAACAGCAGACTGTTTACTTGTGACTCGTCACTGCTGTATGTCGTTGGGTGCGTTAAAAAGAAAAGAAAAGGAGACAGTTTAACATGTGGCTTTGTTCTGCGGCACGTGTTTTTAAAAAGTACTCTATGCAGGAATTTTGGAATTCACCCGGCACAAGGGGGGGCTGTAAACACAGTTTAAATCAGGAGTCTCAAGCTCAAAGGAGGTGGGGGCCACTGGTGCACCTGGAGGGCCAAAAAATAACAGCAATGGTCAAATTACATTATTACTGAAGACTCATTGTGGGTCGGACGTGGTTAACAACCTGAAAATGACCTGCGGGCCGGGGGTTTGACACCCTGGTTTGAAATGTCTGATGATGTATTGAGAATATGGTAGAATTTGTTTGACTAGGACCCGGGGGTCAGACAGTGGCTCCTTGACCTCCAGTTCAAACTTACATGTTCTGTCTGTGGGATATCTGGACTGTTGGAGTCCAGATTGTGGATTAAGGTAATCAGACAGTCTACATCAATCCCAGGTGTTAATGTGGCCCTGTGAATGGACAGGATGTAGCCCCGGTGGCCCCAGTCAATCTGAATAAGATTAAGAGGCTTATACTACGTCCTTTGTGTTGCATTACACCCGCCTCCCCTCCCCGTCTATTTTTACTGCAGAATAATTTACCCAGATGCTTCATGACTATTGTAAAACATTAGAAATGAATCATATTATTCATAGACCTGTGAAGCCCTTTAAAATGACTGTTTATATGATTGAAAGGCTTATTTTTTAATGGGACATTTCTGTATAAATATGCCATTATTGTTATTATTATTATTATTATTATTATTCTAACCTGTGACATATTTTGCTGGTGTGAATGTTCTGTTTTGATTTCATGCACTCTAGTGTTTGTACAATGTTCGATGTAAGAAGTTTTGAAATACTTGAACAGTGTTTTTCTCGTGTGACGCCACGTCCCCGTTGTGAATGTGGAGAAAGAAAAAAAAAACACATTCTGTTCCCCTGCACTGTGTTCACTACTGCGTTCTACTGGATCCTGTGGTTTAAAGTTGAAGAAGCCATCAGAGCTGTTTGGCAAGCTGTTGCATTTTAGCCGTGGTGTTCTGTTCTGTGGAGGTAGACATCACAAATGTTTGTTTGCTGACAGTTATTTCCTCACTCTGCTCCTGAGGTTGCCGTTGAACTGCTCCTTTTGAAGGCTTTGTTTTTAAATAATCTGAGGATTAACCCCCATGACGCACCAGGGACGGTGTCCGCCGTACACGCCTCCAAATCACTGGATTATCGATGTTGTTACTGTTTGTCAAAAACAGTAACAACATGGATTACATTGAGTTGTTTTTACATTTTACACAGAATGGTGGCTATTGCTGTTTATTGACGGACACTTCTCTATTGTTTTCAGTGTCCATACTTTGCTGATGTTGTTTCTGTATGATGTGCTGCCAGAAAAGATGTCTTTACCAAACGTCTGGTGCCTGTAATCAGCCAACAACTGTTTTCGAAGCAAGAAAACATTCTGAAAATAAAATTCCTTCTTTCAGTTCTATGGGTCTTTGAACATGTGAACAAATCAGAGGCTTATTAGTAAATTTATCTTCAAGTCCAGCAAAAAGAAAAATGTCTCAGAAAAATCAAAAGAATTAAGCTGTATTTTAATGCCTGTTTAAATGTCAGAATTTAAATGTAATTACTATATTTTCCAATTGTGTCTATATGGAGTGATGAGGCATCAACATATTTACATAATCTAAAAGGAACAAATAAAAAAGGCTTTAATATTTTTTCAATACTAAATATTTTAAGAGTATATTTTTAAAAAGTGTTCGTATCACATATCTTTAACAGAAATCCTATGAAGTATTGACATTCAACGCTCATTATCATTATCAAAAAATATATATATATATTCAAAAATGTCGACCTTTCCATGTTGTAAATTTCTTCAACTATTTGTATCCAGTCTGAAATTGTTGGAGATTCATTACTCAACCATTTCCTGGTTATTGCCATTTCGCGACTTGTAGAAATGCTGTTTTAATGGAAAATAAAATTTATGATAATCAAAAGATTTTTGGTTAATAAAGTAATGGCCCATGGCCGTATCCTGAGGCAACTCCTGACAAAGGGCGACACGAGTAACCAATCAGCGAGCTGTTCGGTGAGGTACTGCCCATACTTCCGCCGCGAGCTTCCGCCTCGCTGTTGTTGCTTGTCACGTGGAGCTTCATCACAGTGCCCTCCTCGGGCTGAAGCTGGTACCACACAGCTGGGAAACTTGCTGGCCAAAATTCTGCAGGACATTTTAGCACTAATGCTAAGCTAAGTTAAGGCTACTTTCTAAAAAAAACAAACAGACACAAAAAAAAAAATCATCTTTGTCATCGTTTTTGCTTTTTTCTTCAATATATTTTGGACCGTTTGGCAAAACTCAATTTGCTTTTTATAGACTTGCTTTAATTTGTTTTATTAGCTATTTAAGAATATTACCTCATTTTAGGCTGAATTTATAAATAAAACTACATTTCATGACTTATTTTCATCAAGTTTTTGACAAATTTAAAATAAATAATAAACAAAACCAACATTCTTGAATCTTTAAATAAAACTATTTTTCAGAGAAACTATTAATAAAAATTAACAATTATTTGACTAATTTCAAATGGATGTTTATTGAAATAGGGTGCATTACTTACTGATATAAAATAAAGACTGCAAGATATTTTCACATGTTCAGATATGATGTATTTTGAGTTTTTAGCACAAATTATTCACTTCTTAGCATGTTTTCGGACATAAACTTGCATTTCTGGGGTCATTTTTTGTAACATTTGCAGACATTTGATGCGATAATTATTTGCATCATAATTCAGTATAGGAGTTGCTGGAAATGTCCTTCAGCTGCATTGACAATAGTGTGCAGTGATCGTGTGTATCTACTCAATGAGCCTGCACCGTCACCTGTTAGATTGTAGATGCCGTGCAGGACGCTTGTGATTGGATAACGAGGCGCAGCCGTGCAGGACGCCTGTGATTGGATAACGAGGCTCAGCCTGCAGGACGCTTGTGATTGGATAACAAGGCGCAGGGTGCGCTTTAAAACCGGAAGGAAGACGTAACAGGTCTCTACCCGGTGATGGTTCCAAGATGTCGCTATGTAATTACTATAATTACTATATTATATGCACAGCGAAAAAGGTTTGCTATGATTACGACGGTACGTATTTCCATCTCTGGTTCTCTTCAAGTTGGCGGTTAACGCTTCATGTGAAGGACCAGTATTCCTGCTAAATCGCCTAGAGGGACAGTCGGTTAGCGTGCTAAACAGTAGCCTGTTTGAGCCGCACGGTTTGCACATTTAAACTTATTCTGACTGCTTCAGTCAGTGTTATTGAATTGTACGAGATAGCGCTTTGTTATTTGGCCTCTAAATATGTGCACGAAGACCGTTTGGTTTGAGTGGTCCAAACATTTTGGGTGTTGCGACTTTAGCCACGTTAGTGAAGCAGTGGGTTTGATCTTGATCTGTGGGTTTCTGTGCGTTTGCTTCAAAGTGGTGCTTGCACTTTGTAGAGAACTGTAAGGATGGCACATCCATGAGGAAGACGGCACATTATCTATTCTATACGAGTTTACCCTCATTCATTAAAGTAAATCTTTACAGGTGTAGCAGTGAACCCATATCGCCCTCTACTGGACCGGTGGACTCCACGACGCCGAGAAGTCCGAAGCATCCGGTTCCTGTTACGTGAACGACGTCGGCTAGGCCATTTTTGAGCTGGTCAACTAAGAACTTGAAGTCACCTGAAATTAAACTTTTGGACATCATTTACGGTGGGTTTTTTATTTTTTGATGCCACAGGAAGTTTGAATGTTGCCATTAAGAGTAATTTTATTTTTTATAATCTTTTTTTATTATGGAAAATTTACAACAATCAAATACAGTTCAGTACAAAAGGGCACAATGAAAAATGACACTAAGAAAAAAAAAACAAAGTGTTTTACAAAAAACTGCATTAAGGTACAATGAAAAGCAAAAGGCTTGCAAAAAATAAATAGACTACAAAATGCCGAATAACATTTTTCAGTAAAATACTCACAAGTCCAGTGATGTGCTTCAAGTAAAGTTCCTCCACTGCACCATCTGTTAAGACAAAAGCATACAAGACACAATCAAAAGCTGTCTGTGTAGGTTTTCAGTCATTTTATCCAAAAACAGTTACGTCAAGGGCAACTGGACAAAGTAGGTTTTTTTTTTTTTTTTTTTAAAGACATTTCTCATCCAAGAGGCTTCTTCAGTTCTGCTGAACTAAAGCGCCACCTGCTGTAAAACGAATGAAATGATTAGTTCAAGATTCGTTCACGACTTGTCTATTTTACTGTTCGAGAGTCAAAGATTCGAATCAATAAAAAGAGTCGGTCTTCCATCACTACAGAGCGCATATTTCCGGTATAATTTAAAAACTCTTGCATGCTACGCATGCGCAAACCAGGGAAAGAAATTACGTATCTTTAATTAATAATGTGAAATAATTTGTAAATCTGTGTGTACAAATAAATAAATATTAAAATAAAACCAGAAGTAAATAGAGAACATATAAGAAGTTTCTTAATAACATTTTAAATCTTAAATCACATCCATCCACTAGGTAGTAGGTTTCCGGTGCAAAGTCTATATATTGAATTTTTAATTTGCATGCAATTAACTCCGTGACATAAACAACACGAATTAAACTGGTATTTGGATTCATGATGAATTACAAAACCCAATAAACGACAATTCCAGCTCTAAGTAGCTCTAAAGATTACTGCCAGTAACATCAACTTCATCGCTTTAAATATTAGTAATGAAGCCTAGCACAGTTTGTACATTCAGTAAAGGAAAGAAAATTCAGAAAAACATTTTCTGTGCTTTTCCAAATAGTACTCAAAAAAGGTTTTAAAGATTCAAATTAAGGGGTTTTTATCCTCCCCTGTTGTCCTTGATCATGTTAAGGCCTGATCACAGAGGGAGGTTAACAATAGGAAATGTTACAAATAAGGTAAACACTGGTGAAGTGCCCTTGTGAGGCAACAAACGTTCTATTTCTGGCTTTAATATTGGTCTGGGGCTGGTAGTTTCTGTCTGTATCCCTTAAAGCCACTTCTCTTGTTTTTCACTCTGATATAAAAAACATTACATAATACATTCACGTGCTTCTTAATCTGCTGCTCTTTGCCCTGGCCACATGGAGCTCAGCCTTTCATGGCCTAATTCTTTGCTTTTATAATGTGTCGACAGTTTCCTCATGCTGTTATGATCTTGTCGTGAACTGTGGACTACTGTACAGCTACATTTCTGACCAGAGTTTTCTAAAATCATCAGCAGAGTTTGACCTGGGAGAGTCAGTCGAATCTGTTAATGATCAGCTGAGGCTGTTATATAAACACTGTGGTACTCAGTGGGCTTCACTCAGTGGTGGGATTCTGTTGTGATTTTATCACTACTGCCTACAGAGGACCTTACTGAAGCGCTGCCATGCGCCTGATAGGGTCCACTGTCCTTTTCTCTGTCCTGCTGCAGGCTGTGGTAAGAAAGGAAATCACATTACAACTGAATATTAACACATAGTCAGTCGGATTATGATTTGTTTTAGCTGAAAGACTGTCAAATTTTGATTTTCAATGTGTAATTTGTAGTTTTTTTTAAAGTTTTTATTTCTACCACAAGTCATGTTTTTGGTATTTAATGTTTTCAAAATGAATGTTAGGTGTTGCTTTAACATTACACTGAGATAGATACCTGACACATGTTATCGAGTTAATAAATTGTGATTGTTAGCTGGTTAGACACAAGATCTGAATGTGCACTTTGACAGTAACCAGTGTAATTTCCCTCCGGTGTTGTCCTGACAGTCTGCACAGTCAGGGGACTGGCAGACGGCTACATCCATTTATGACTTCTCAGCCACAGACATTGACGGCAATGTGGTCTCCCTGGAGAAATACAGGTAGATCTTATTAAACTGTATTTCTTGCCATGTACTGCATCCTATCACAATGCCCTTATTACTGACTACGTTGGTGTATGTGTGTGTTTACAGGGGGGATGTTGTCATCATTACCAATGTTGCTTCAAAATGAGGCAAAACCCCAGTAAACTACTCTCAGCTTGCTGAAATGCACGCTAAGTATGCTGAGAAAGGTTTACGAATCCTTGCCTTCCCATCCAACCAGTTTGCCAACCAGGTACACAGAGTGGTTTGTAGCATTAGCATGACTGGATGAGCTTGAGATCCCAGGTTACATCAATATTTCAATTCATGACAACAAGTTCCTAAAGGTTGTTGTCTTGTAGATTTAGGTACTCTTGTATAGTTGAGGTATTTGAGTGCACTTGACGTTTAACTTTATCAAGTTTATCCATCTACCAAGGTCTCACCATTTTTGTCCTTCAGGAACCTGGCACTGAATCTCAGATCAAGCAGTTTGCCGAGTCATACAACGTTCGGTTCGACATGTTCAGTAAAATCGACGTGAACGGGGAAAACGCTCACCCTCTGTGGAAGTGGTTGAAGGAGCAGCCCAATGGAAGAGGCTTTCTGGGAAAGTAAGAGCATTCACGCTAAGACAGGGCTGAGTTAGCATTTAGTCTGTACCACTGGGCAGTAAATGACAGTCATGTCAAAGTGTTACTGCTGTTGTGTTGTTTTTGTTTCAATTAACATTTGCTGTGTTTTCATTCTTGCAGTAGCATCAAGTGGAATTTCACCAAGGTAAATAAACAAATTATTTTAGTTTCTTTTGTGACGCCACCAGCAAAATTAGATCAGAAAACGTGTAGGTTTTTTGTGTCAATTTTACTTTGCTAGCTGAGCTTAGCCTCCTTGTTTTAGTGTACACACTAAGTGAGCCACACTGTAGGAATTACTAACAACCATTTTTTAACTATTCTGAAATTGATTTGTTTTAAAACAAAAAAAATCGATTTAAGTGATGCATTGTTTTCATTTTCATTTTCCCCTCCAGTTTTTAATTAACAGAGAAGGGCAGGTGGTGAAGAGATATGGACCCATGGATGACCCTGTGGTACGTACAGGACACACGTTTTTCATTGGCCAACTGTTTCCAAGTAATATGGTTTTAGGCTTAAAGGTATAGGACATGCAGTTTTGGTTTTGTAAAATGAATTAGTTGGACAAATAAATAAAAAATATTCAGAAGAATGTGGTAGCGCTCAGTCAACATTATAGAAAAATATATATTACAAAATTTACGTCAACTATTAAATTCAATTTTAAACTGAGTGTAAGGTCATTAAAATATAAAATATACATATTTATTATATAAAATAATTGGTATACAAATAATCTTACAAATCCCATACACAGTGCTTATGTTATTTAGGAAATAATCAACAAAAAAAGTTGTATTTACGGCAAATTAGATCACTAAACAGACAGAAAATGTAACAAACAAACAAACAAAAAAAACCAATAAATAATAAATGTTGCTTCAGTCCATGACAGTTTGTAAGATTGTTTTTCACCTTTTCACTCTGTTTGTGGTTCTTTCCAGGTAGTGGAGCGAGATCTTCCTGAGTACTTTCAAACTGAAAGTTCTTCTTAAATCATATATTAATTTCTCTGCCTCTCCAAGCATCAATGAATATAATTTGGATTCATCCCAGACCAGTGACGATCTGTTCACAAACCTGCACCGCAGGTAGAACAGACCTGATGAAAATGGCGTGCAAACCTCCTGGGAGAATCTCCAACTTTAAAAAAACTTGTTTCTATGGAGAGGAAAAGAGGAAAGTTGTCAACATCACTAATAAACTCTAAGATTCACAGTCATGTTTGGTCAGTGGTGTTTTTGTGCCATGTAGTCTTTTGGATGATTTTCCCCCTGACTATATTTTATTGAAAGAGAGCATCAGACTCTCAATGATTTTTTTTCATAAAGAAATATAGCCTATATAAGTGGTTGCCAAACTTTTCTCTGCTAACTGGGTTGGTACACTCCCAGTTACCCCCACCTTGGAAAAAAAGGCAAAAGCTATGTATATAGCTATAATATATTACTTTTTAGTAATACATGTTTTCTTGCAGAATTGTTTGTAAACCTGACTTAAAGTAATGCTGTTCACTTAGGGAAGTTTTTTTTTTTGCAGAGGGACCGAATATGAGCATCCTTCCATGTTCTCATTATTTACTGTTTTTTTGGATGATAAATAAATGATAGGTGGTTGAAGTTATTTCCAGTTTGAATATATATATACACACACATATATATTTATATACATATATATGTATATATATATACAATATGTTGCAAATGTTGTAAATCCATCTCCAATATGGGGAACAATACTTTAAAAACTCCAGGACATATTTCCCTGCTCGTCGCCCCATAATGGCCATGACAGTCCCACCACTGAGAGGTCTTCTTTTATCTCGTTGCTTGAGTGCATTGTAAAAATGACATATGTTTTAAATTTGTGCTCAAATATTGTATATCACTTTTAGGGTTCAGTAAACATCAGTCAACAAGTTTATCACGTCTCCAATTGGCGTCCATAGGCAGGTTTTGCACTCGTTACCACAGCTGCCTGCAGTTCCTCTAATTTTCTGCAGAGGACGTCAAAGTTCCCAGTGCCTTATCACGAAAGCAGGCAGCAGCAGCAAGTGCGCTGCGGTGGAGCTGAGCTGAGGAGAGAGAGGAGCAGGAGGAAAGAGGAGCAGGAGCTGTGTGAAAAACACCGCACGGATGAAGGCACCGTAGCAGATAAACTCGTTTGATTATTACAGCATATTAGAAGTCATACACTCCTGCTCCTCCCTGCTGCGGGGACTGCACAGTCGCTGTGTGTCTTTCATTCGGAGGGCTTGTCTGTTTTTTCACCGGGAGACTGAATGGAAGCAGCAGCTGAGGGAGCGGTCGGCTTGTCGGAGGCCCGGGACGGAAGCCCGCTATCCGGGGACGCAGCATCCGAAGATGGGGACACGGTGGTTGGTGTTAGCTATGGCATGGACGCCTCAGACTTTGGTACGTACCAGCATTCTTAAACACAAATAATTTTGATTGAAACATGTATTTATTTTACCTCCGACTCGCTGACAGGTAAGATCGTTGATGCTGCTGCCGTGACTAAAAGTCCCGACTCATATCTGCTAGCTCACAGTGGTAAATGCTAAGCTAGAGCTAACAGAGAACAGCTGATGACCAGAGCAGGTGAAGTTAGATAAACATATGCGTACATTTGTGTAGGCACAGCGAGTGTACTTATGGTGATAACACTGCCCCACAATTGTATTATGTATTATTGTGTTGCATTATGTTGGAATTTTAGGGATTATCGTTGGGCGTCTTGCAGATGCTGAGTTGTCAAGAGCTTTTGTTGTTGTTGTTTTTTTATTAACACTAGGATTGTATGAATTTGAAGACTTATGTAGGAATATACAGTGTTTATCTACAGGGAGGATTCCCTCTGTCTGGTTCTCCTGTTTTTCCCTTTATATTTATGTAATCGGGATATTTATAAGTTGATGTTATAAGTGTATGTTATATATATATATATATCTGTATATATAGATATACTGTGTATATACTGTGTATATATGCTGTATATATATAAAAATACAAAGTAAATTAAAATACAAGATACAGTTGTCACCACCCAGAGTGCATGTAAAAATACACTGAATAGACAAAACAGTTGACTCTCTGTCACATTTCACATTTGTTTTTTATTATAAAACTTTCTTAATATGTCACAAAGATAGATATAAAATTAATAATGAATAAATAAATAATAATTGGGTCACAAAGTGTTTTGTAGCAGATCGTAGTGATCTTACTTGTCTTTTGCCATATGTGGCCCCATTAAAATATTATTTTACATAGGTCCAGCTCTGCATGTTAAGTATACTCAGTAAGTTGATCTCTCGTATAAAATCTGTAGTGTGTGTAGTCTGTTGTTTATCATGACATGACATCAGTAGTTTTTGGTTACAACCACTGCTAAGATGGCCTTCCACCAGACGGTACGATAAATTTGAGATACATAATAATCTACCCTTTTGTTTTGTTGTGGTTTTCACACTGCTGAAAGGTGCCTGTGCTGTCCTGCCACTGTTTTTCAGACCCTGATTGTGGTCTGAAAGAAAAAAACAAATCTACATCCTTTGTCTCTGGTGTAAAAAGTGCAAAGACTTTGACAGGAGCCATGCACTGCTGTCCAGAGCAGGCTCATGAATCAAAAGGCAGTCTGCTTGGATTCACTTGTCGGGCTCAGCTCTGTCAGTGTGAGGATACAAAAGAAATAGAACTGACATTGGCTCAGATGCCATTCTTTCCCATGTGCTAGATGGAGCGTGTCTCAGCTAGTGTGTGTGCAGTCTGCTGGTTCACACTCTCGTAGACAGTGGCACCATGATTATTCTGTAATAGCTAATGTAAAGTCCTTGCTGCCTTTGGTTTGTCTTTTAATGTCCGCAGTGGATGATAAAACCGGAACCATCAAAAACATACTGCGGAGCCCACGGCTGTGTGTACACTGTGTGTGTAGTGCACAACGAGAATCTCTTGACGACATTAATTATCAAATTAAAAATAAATTGGTGTATAGAAAAAAATAAAATGTACGTAACCATAAAATAAACCATATGAACGTAGAAGCAGCACTAATAATACTAAGAAAAAAGTACCAAATATAACAGAATGTGTTTGCTCACAATTGAGTGCGCTCGACTCAGTGATCATTGATCAATGATCATACTGTGAGATATTCAGTGAAATTGTTTTTTCGTGATGGATTGGGGGACAAAATGGAAATCATAATCAAACCTGATTTATTGCTAAATTGCAGCTGAATCAGTTCTGGTCTGTAGCCACATGTTTGACACCACTCATATAATTCCATTGCAGTTTCTTTAATTTTACTAGAGTTTTGTTTTGGCATGTAAGGAACATGAAGAAATATTTTCTAAAGTTACACAACTGATAAATTGGTTCGGTTTGGAACATCACTTACCAGGAACAGTGATGTGTCCTGGGGTGTGTAATATTCCAAATAAAATATTAATATCCATGAGCATTAGTGTTGTTTATCTTTGCCCAGGAGAACTGTTGAGCAGGCCTGTCGAAAACAATGGAGTATTACTTTATTGTCTTCTTTTACTAATGGGCCAACAGGATGTGTGCCAATGCGTCTTGTTAGCACTCAGGGAGATCAGAGCTACTTGAATGAGATTTTGAATTGAGTGTTTGGAACAGAGTTAAAACTTAAAACTCTTTTCTGTCCTTTGTCTGTGTTAATGCTGACAGATTAGCTCTACATTTCACTGATCAATTGTAAGGTAAGCTTCAGGGTCCCAAAGCTCGTTTCTTATTGGCTTGTTAATGGGCTCCATGTAATGGTGACATATCAGTGTGCGGCAAAGATCAACAACTAAAATGGACATCAGAGTCTTCAGAATTTTTAGGCAATTGACTCTTTGTCTCGACTGCTCTGAATGTAAGGTGGTTGTCACAGCTGGCTGTTAAACTGAGCTTTCTCTGTGTTTAGTCCTATTCAAAACGTATTTTCCTTACATCTGTGGTGTCCAACTCCGCGTCATGTCATCCACCTCCTCCTCTGAGTAATTCCCTTCACCCTGCCATTCATCCTTCAACCTGCGATACAGAGCACCCCTCTTGTTTGTCTCTGTTTGACGGAAGCACAAAACGTGGTGGCTCATACCGTATGTGGTCGACTGACCATCTGTTTCCTTTTTTTGTGCGCCCACCGTTTTTTCTATTCTGAGACATAGTGAAGGAGAAGGACAGTGATTTGGAGACAGAGGACACAGACACAGTGACACATGGCAGAAAGACATAGTGTTCAAAGCTCTAGTTTGAGAATTGTTGTGGTTAATTACACAGAAACATTGACAGTTTTACTTTCAATGACTGTCGATGGAAGACCTGCTGGTTTCAATGAATTGTCTGTAACTGTATCTGCTGTGCAGACAATTATGATTTAATAATAAGAACCTGGAGCGATAGCACAGTCAGACTCGAGGTTGTAAACACTCATCTAAAGAATTCCCACTGAATCTCATTTTTTTTAAAGGACTCAGTTGAATTTTTTCTGCCTGTGGCTTCAATTACCGTTCTTATCCAGTCCAGATAAAATTAGAAGCCACGTTATATAGTGGCCTAGTATCTGCAGTCGGCTGATGTACAGCTGGTATAAGCAGCCTAAGAACTGCTGTGTGACAGTGCTGGTCCTGTGCTTATCTTTTCTCCACAGTCCTTGGAGGTAAAAGTGTAGAGACGTGGGTATGTGTGCTATTTTCGTAGGGTGTGTTCTTTCTTTCTTTTTGGCTTGGAGTAAAGCAGAAAATGGTTTCTAAAGGTTTGGTTTGGTTGGTTTGTATCCAGATACAACCTCAATGACTGTGTTAGACTGCAAAAAAAATGTGTTATGTTGAAATAGTAAAATAATTATTTCTGTGTTTTAACCTGCCAAGTCATAAGGTTTAGTTTGATAGTTTGAAAAGTGATAATATGGGAGCTGTAGTTCCAGAGTATGGCCCTTGAAAAACACTAGAAAGGGAGTTGCTTGTGTAAAAACATCTAAAATTTTTCAGGGAAGAAAATATTAAAACATATAATCTCTACTTTTATTGTACCATATGTATTTTTTCCATTGTAACTCAGATGTAAGGTGTGAAATTATTGCCGGAACAGTGCAGCGTTTATCATTTGCATCTGCTTAACTTAATAGATCTGAACACTGAAGCTGGTGTAGTGTGGTAAAACATTTATGTGATAATCAGTGGGTGCCTCCAACACCCGCCAAGAAACGTTTACTTTGCAGTGATGCTAAAACACAGTAGAGATGATAAGTCGCAGACAGCCAGTGAGACATGACCTTTAACTGTCTTTATATTGGTGACCATTCAGGCCTTGAATCCCGATAGATCGTCTGGAGGCCTATGTAGATTTATGTTAAGGTGAAGTAACATATCTGACTTTACATCCACGCTGCTGTCGGGAGGTAACTATTTACTATCTACAGTGGTGCTCAACCAAGGACCGGTCGACCGGTAGCAGCTTTTACTGCTGACCAGTGATAACGCACCATCATTGAAGGATCATTACATTTTCTCATCTTTACATACACCACATTTGACCAATGCATTTAACTCATCCAATAACCACAACTCTACATCACAGATTTTTAATCAACCATACGATGTGATGCTCTGGCAGTCCACATAAAACCGGCCTTGAGTTTGACAAATGTGATCTGAGGTAACCCAGATAATCAGGGTGCAATTCATGAGTTGTACTTTAATACAGTACTCTGTTTACTCAGAATCACATAACCGGCTCCTGAGTTTTGTGGCATGACTTGATGGACCACACAGACTCGCGCTAATCAATATAAAGCAGTTAATCTTCAACTAATGAGTTTAAGTGTTCCAGAGAGACGGCCTGGTAGCAGGACGCTTTTCATTTACTCTCTTGTTGGCCTAATGCTGCTGATCATAATAAATGACTTGGCACAAAGTTGTCCTCTTCTGTCTCTCACTCTGTCCAGCTAAGCCAGTGGGAGTCCTTGTTTAAACTTTAACCTACATTCAGTTTCAACCCTTCTGTGATTTGGTTTTTCTGTTGTAAACGTGCTGCAGTTACTGTGTCACACGGTATACATTCGAAGGTTCCATACTGAGGTTACTGTCAGCTGAAAATGTTTGTGGTCACAGTTTTGTTTTGAAGTTGCCTTTCAGGAATTCTTTTCTTAGTCACATAACACTCATCTGTTCATTTCATGTGTGGTGTTAAATACCTCAGAATTAGGTAGTTACCATTTTTATGACGTTGTGTTCTGTCTAAAATGTTTCATCTCCGTATTTTTCCATGAATTGAACATAATCATATTAATGACATTCATGCCCGGGCTAACTGGGTTCATGGTGTGATCAAGTGAATTCCTTTTGTCCATTATCGATACAGTATTCTCGAGAGAGCCATTTTAATTGACATTGGTCCAGGGACAGAGTACATGCCTGACGGATCATCTGGGGCATTCACAGAGATTAACCACTATTCACTCACATTGACACTTTAGTCATTTTTAACTTTCTGTTTTACCAAACTCACGCCACACAATATTTACCGAGCACAATGTGTGAGGTTTGGATGAACAGCAACATAATCATTATGGAAGGTGAGAAAAAAAGGATGGCTTTTGTTTCTCACTAAAACCAATTTATTAATTGCAGTAAGTCATGAAGATCAAGCTAGGTGTGAGCCCCATTGTTTAATTCAGTGGTTTCAATGGTTTTGTGTACAGTATTTGCACCAAACAGGGTGTTCTGTAAAAATACCCAACAAGTATTTCGGTACATGTTTAACCATAATCCAAAAACAGAAACTCTGACACAGCAGGACTTTATGATTGGGCTTACAAACCTGTGTGGTTTTTCCTCCCTGAATGTTTTGCAGACATCACAGTACCTTCTTTTATACTTCCAGTAATAAGGTTGCCCTGCCTGTTGTGGATGATATACTGGCTGTGTTCTGTGAATAAGCTGTACGTTTCCAGGAAATACAAATTATTTTAAAGCATTCCCTCGTTTAAATTACAGAAAAATACCAGTGACATCATCAGTGACTAGTCAGCGTCTCGACTCGTTTCATTACATTAAAGTTGATTCATTTATTTCCAACACCTAATCATTAGGTGTTGGGTTAATTCCAGTTAATTCCAGCCGCTTGGCAAGGGCAGGTTCACGTTCCAACCGTCCAATTTGGTGCACAACTGGATTCCAAATTAAAAAATCAAATAATAATGTTAGTAAAAAATTTGATTTTTATTTTTATTTTATTTGAATGATCAACCTTTAAGGTGTCTCTCCAGAAAAAGTCTGGCCCTCTGTCAAATGTAACTTGTGACCCCTGAAATAGACTGTCAATGAATTTACCCTAATTCCCAATATGTACAAGTTTGGACCCCCCAAAAACATGCTCCATACTGAAGGTAGTGCAACAGCACTAACAGAGCCTGCTGCTAACATGTGCAGGAGTAACAAAATTAGGTTTTGGTGAGAATTGCAACAATGTAAATATGAATGACAAATACATAAAGTCTAAGTCTAAGTACATCCCTCCATTGCAGAGCCTTTTAATGCCTTACCATAAATATGAGTTTAAAAGCATTTGCACCAGTGACACTTTGATACCATGAAATGTTTGGTTTGTAACAATGCACCGTTAGTTTGAGGTAAAGACGCCTCTTGGACGAGAGGTCAAGCTTCTTCAAGAAACCTAAGCCGCTCTGGTTGTCTACTTCTGAACTTCTTAGGTAACAATGAAACAGTAGCGTTCGGTGGCACTACGACCTGCCACAGTTGGAGGAACTTAAAAAGAAAAGAAAAACCCTCAGAGAAATGGTACAAGAAAAGTTCATTAAACTACTGTATGAAGGCCTGTTGTATCGTGGCTGTTGCATTTGCAATTTCATGTCTGTGCATATGCGAACTCGGAGCAGTCCTAACAGGTGGAGACATGTGGAGAGGAAGGGCATGTCTGCTGTCAAAAACATCTGATAAACTGTCTTTTTCTTTCTTTTCTATGTGGAAGACAAAACCACATGCATGGAGCCAGACTTAGAATTCACCAGTGGCAGAAGACACGTTATAAAACCTCACGTAAACAACCACCCACGTGCACTCTGGAAATGCCTGCTCCTTGCAGACGCAAATAATTAGCACGGTGGAAAAGTAGCCTCCTCTCTAATTTTCAAACATTGCAAACATTCCTTCCTTGCGTGTCTATTTTTTTCCTCTGTGTATGTTCCTGCACTGTGCTCTCGTGATTGCAGTAAAACACTTTGGTTTGTTGGTTCTGCTGTTAATGTGTTTGTGTGTGCATGAGTGAGGGAGTCAGAAAAAACAGGCAGGAGGAGGTGCAGCAGACAGCCATTTCTGTGGCTCAGTCACATGGACATGCATGAGATGTGGAGACAGACTGAAGTGGGGCTGGTCATCGACTGGACTGAAAACATGAGTGGAGCTGTAGAGGAAACAGTGCTCCCCTAGAACGGTTTTGGGCTGTAAATGTCATCTTTTAGGTCACACCTAGGGTTAGAGCTTCCAGAGATTGAACTCATAAATGGTTCTGTCTTTTAATATCCAATCGGTGATTATGGACTAGTTATTCACAATTGCATGTGCTGCGACTGTGTAGTTGGTATTTCAAACTTATGCACCAGTTGTTTTTATCTGCAAGTGGTGATAAAACTGGTGTCTGTGTGTGTGTGAGAGAGAGAGCTATAATTTTTAATTCTGTTTTTTAATTTCTGTTTTTCCTCTTCCTCTTGTCCTTTTTTTTATTAATGTTTTTTGTTGTCGCCTCTAGCTGTCCCTGCTGTTTACCCAGTGTTGTGCAGCTATAATTATGCCTCCATTTCAGGCCGTCTTGATGAAAACAGGATTTTGATTGCCCTCAGCTACTGACTGTATCCTGTTATCACACAGAAATGATCAAAATAAAAAAAAACTGTTACAACGTGGCTGTTGAAAAGTTACTATTACCATATACGGTTTGCTGACTTGTCTCAGTTGTGTCCTGGCGTGGAGATACTGTAGCACATACTTCACTCTGATCTAAACTCGAGTATTTAAATGAAACAGGCTTGTACTAATTAAAGTTGATTTGGGTCCAGCTTAATTGGATTGTGCTTGAAGAGGGATTTTCAGCAATATGTTTTTTAAAAACCTGTCATCTGTCTGACTCACATGGCCCGGGCTTTTTATGACCAACTATTGTATTGTAATATTTAGTTTTGAAAAACACAAATAACATGTTTTCAAGTCAAGAATGTGTGTTCACTGCAACATAGTCTGCTTCCATTGAAGTGCTGCAGTGAATACAAGTAATCAAATGAATTTAATTTGGAATTTGGTTGATGGGTTGGTTGAAAACAACAGATTTATTTAAGTTATTTCAATCATGCCATTGCATGATGAGCCACAGGTCACAGAAGTCAGTCTGTCAGTGTTGTTTTTGCACAAAATGTACGGCAGTCTAACAACTGACCCCTTACTTAGTGCCTTTGACACTGTAATACTACTGTAATACTGCACACAGTGACTCAAAAATTAAATGTCTCTCCTTTGTACTTTTCTTCAGGTTCCCTTACTTATTTGTTCCTACTTGTGTTTGACATGGAAATCACATAGTTGGACTTCTGTGTTCAGTGACGAAGCCTGTGATTTCTATCTGTTCTTTCCCCTTAGATGCTGCAGCTAAAAAGGCCTTCATCACAGAGGTAAGCCGACATTTCCACTTTCACTTTTTTTCAGACTCGATTACAAAAGTCTAAAATACATTTTATTTTAAAAATTCACCAAGCCTTACAATATCAATATCCATTGGTTTCATGGATGTACAGTATAAACATGATAGAGTAGAGGCGGAATGACTGCCATTCATCTCTATGGAATCTTCTTGACGAGTATGCGTTGTCTCATATTAGTAGGAGCCACGACTAAGAAGAGGGAGAGACGTTACTAGTCTGCAATACTGCCTGGTAGTAGCCGACAGGTCCTTGATATAAAAAAGGTTGAGGACCATTGTTTTTTTAGATGAATAAACGGAAAGTGGACCTCTTGGAACCACAAATCCTGTGGCAGCTTTTGTTGGTTGTGAAGACTCACACTGTAAATTTACTCATTTGTGGGACAAATAAGGAACTCTATTATTATTATTATTATTATTATTATGTATTGTCTTCATCAAATGTGACTGATGCATGTGAACATGTCTTCCTCACCAGATGCCCTCATCCTCAGGCCAGCCTGGTCAGGGAAAAAAGATTGGTCACAGAGGAGTGGATGCCTCAGGAGAAACAACCTACAAAAAGGTACTGAGTGGGTTTGTGTTTTGAGAATTCACATTTGAACTTGAAGGTTAAATATAAATTCAACTTCTCTATGTCTCTCCGTCTCCCCCTCTGCAGACCACATCTTCGGCCTTGAAAGGTGCTATTCAGCTGGGCATTGGTTACACAGTGGGCAACCTTAGCTCCAAGCCTGAGAGAGATGTGCTGATGCAGGACTTCTATGTGGTGGAGAGCATCTTCTTTCCTAGGTCTCTAATACAAAGACACAAACAACACACTGTTATACATTCTCTTCTTCTTGAAACATTAATTTGGATACTACGGTATGTTCTGTCTCTTTTTTTTTTTTAGTGAAGGGAGCAACCTGACTCCAGCTCATCATTTCCCAGACTTCCGCTTCAAAACATACGCTCCTGTGGCCTTTCGATACTTCAGAGAACTGTTTGGCATCAGGCCAGATGACTACCTGGTACGACAGAGTCTTGTATTATTATATACGTATAACTTTCACCATCGGTCTATGCAAATACACACTCATCTTGTTGGAGGGTTGCAGGGTTTTCAGGTGGGAGTTATGGGAGTGAAGCTATTTTCTACTGCCATTGGCTAGAAGGCAGTTTACACTTGGTTCCACATTGCAGGGCTGACATGGAATGAAAAACATTTCATTTCTAAAAATTCAAGTCATATAAATATTATTCAAATGTACTTATTAAGTTGATGTCGAAGACCATTGTTGTTGAAGGTTTTTTTTTTCTGTTTTGTCTGAATCTGCAGTATTCCCTGTGCAACGAGCCACTGATTGAGCTGTCAAATCCAGGAGCAAGGGGTTCAGTACCTTACTAAAGACGACGAATTTATCATCAAAACAGTGATGCACAAGGAGGCTGAGTTCTTGCAGAAACTGTTGCCCGGATACTACATGGTAAGCAAAAAAACACAGCCAGTGTACCAGGAGCTACAGTATCTCTGTGATGTTTAGCAACCATTCACGCTCACACTCATACTGTACTCATACTGTGGTCAATCTGGAGCAGGGCTGCCCACAATATCTTGGCGTAGGAGCTACTACTCAATGCCAGTGATTTACCGATATTGAAAATCTAAAATATATAGCGATTATCTCTGAATTAAAAAAGAAGAATGAACTAGTAAACCAGTAAAAGTTAAACAGATGCTGCTGCATTTCAATTGTAGTTTTTTCTCTTACTGTTCCATTTATCACAGAAGTAGTTCACAAATAAGCATTCTGAACCAGGCAGTAACCTGTCTTTTTTTAATTTGGATTAACATTTTATACATTAGTATCGAGGTCAGACTTGGGCAAACCTTTTGACTTGCAGGCCACAATTAATTATCAATATAATATAAATCAATTACATCATTTGGAAAGGTTTGGCAGGCCGAATTATAAAGCTGTAGGGGCCGCATCTGGCCCCGGGCCTTAGTTTGCCCATGCCTGATCTAAGTCATACATGTTCTTTTGTCACTGATTGATTCCCATTACATGAAAGGTTGGAGCCTTTGCTGACAGGATTTCTTTGTCTCCACACCAACCTTTTTATTTTTAAGCATTTCAAGGCCTTCTTTGTACAAGCCTGGGATTTCTCCTCCAAGCATGGCCGGGCAAATGAAAGCCTGGCTGGAGCTTTTATTAGCCACCTGTACTGTACCTTTGTCTAACAGAGCATGACTCACACCAGCAGTAATATCCTTGACCATTAGTCACTTTCTTTTTACTCTGCACTCTCATTCCTCCCCTTTCATCCATCATTACTCACAGGTTCTCTCATACGATGTCACGTGTAAAGACCGATGAGTGTGAAAACATTAAGGAACATTTACGGCTTATGTTCATCGGTTGTGATCTTTTTTTTAATGTTTCCTAAGATGTAAAGAAACTAGGGATGGCTCGATACAACTTTTTCATGTTGAATATCGATACTTGGAGTATTTGCTGATACTGTTATCAATCCAGTACCTTCTCTTCTACTGCGGGCCGCTGTTGCTGAGACGACAGCTTCAGATATGGAGTATCTGATCGAACCATCTGTAAAGGGAAGTAGAGAAGTTTAGGTTTGTGCAGATTGACTGGAGCTTCAGGCTAGTAAAAAACACAAAAACTGTATTCAAATGACATGGACTGACAGAAATGGTAGCTAAGGTCTGTAAGAATTACAGTTAGTATCACTGTAAAAGCCATCATCCTGGCTGTCAGTGGTGGACTTCCACAGATCTCTTCCTCCGGGCAGCGTACGGATCAGTGTGATGTAACAGACTTTGCTTTACCCCGACATTATACCTCATCCTTCCATCCTCCTCCACATTTTCATGTGTTATCTCTGCGCTCACCATCTTTACAGGCCTGGTGTAATTTATTATGTGTTATCTTTCACCACATTGTGTTATTATAATCCACTCTTCCCTCGGCCACTCTTTCATCCTGCCTTTTTTTTCCCACTCCCTTCTCTCCCCTCTGTCATGTGTTGGTGTTGTTGGCTCGTCACTGCTCTGCCCTTTTTACATTGACAGAAGGGTCATGTATGGCTGATGGCATGGAGAGCTCTCTCTCCCCCTCCATCTGCCTCTTTCTCTCTCTCTCTTTCTCCCCCCTCTGTCTCCTTTTTTACTTGTTTTCTGTTTCCTGTCAGCTGAAGGTCGTCCACAACTGCTGAGCAGCTTAGCCACACTTTCATATTGTTTCTGCTGCTCCTAGTTTCCCTCCTGACTGCTGTGTGCATGGATCACTGCTCTCCCTCTCTCCCTCTCTCTTTGTCTCACCTCTCTCTGCTCTGTTTCTGCTAATTGAACCAAACTGTCTGTGGCCTCAAGGTCAAAGCAGTCCTTTTTTTAGCTGGACTAAAAGCCCAGCTAACATTGTTTGCGTTGATTTATAACTGGCATATTCTGCACAGATGACTATGATGAAAGCAGTAAAACACTATGGATAAAAGCAGACTTGACTCAGCAGAACTTACATTTACTGCATGTGGCTCAGATCTGGTTCAGACAGATACTGTACTGTATATGGTAAATACTGCTTGAGCCACCTGCCAAGAATAATTTTGAACTCGTGAGATGTTTGTGAAGAGAAAGAAAATATGAATCTGTGCACTAGGAAGTTTGTTCAAGATTTGACTTGAATAATAAACACAAAAATATTGTTTATGATGAAAACCTCACAAAGGAATCATAAAGGAGTAAAAAAAAAGTTTATATTTTCATTGATAATCTAGGGGGGACCAATTATTTGTCCGAGGGCAAGACATTTTCTGGACGCCTTTGGGGCCGGACACTCAAATAAAATGAAAAGAAAAATCACATTTTTGTCTGAATTAATCATTTGACCTTTATTTTGGAATCCAGTCGTGGGCCAAATTGGATGGTTTAGTGGGCTGAATTTGGCCTGCGGGCCGCAAGGTGATAAATAATTTTTAGAATGCAGATATGAACATAAAGTGGTTTAGTGGGCTGAATTTGGCCTGCGTGCCGCAAGGTTTTTAGAATGCAGATATGAACATAAATGCACTGATGCATCAAAAAATAGAATTTTAATAGTCGTTGTCCTTATCGATGCATTGAATTGGATTGTGTTTTTCTGACGTTTCTTTTTACTCTTTTCACCAGAACTTGAATCAAAACCCTCGTACTTTGCTGCCCAAGTTTTTTGGCCTCTACTGTGTCCAGTCCGGTGGTAAAAACATCCGCATGGTGGTGATGAACAACGTTCTTCCTCGTGTCGTTCGCATGCACCTCAAATATGACCTGAAGGGCTCCACCTACAAGAGGCGAGCATCAAAGAAGGAGAGGGAAAAGGCCAGACCAACTTTCAAAGACTTGGACTTCATGCAGGACTTACAGGACGGACTGATGCTGGACCAGGACACCTACAATGCACTAAGCAAGACACTGCAAAGAGACTGTCTGGTATGACTGCTGTTTGAGAAGACTATGATTATGTTATGATGACATATACTGCAGGAGAATCAGAGGAAGAGTGGGCGCACAAGTAATGAACCGGTTCTCTACAAGAATCGGTTCCCGATGGTCCACTTCCTTGTAGTAGTTATTCCACTCGCTTAACGAATCGCTAACCGAGTCACACACATTGCACGATGGCGTATTTGGAAGATGACCAGATGCATTTGTTTCTGTCTGTCAGGTGTTGGAAAGCTTTAAGATCATGGACTACAGCCTGCTTCTGGGGGTTCACAACATGGACCAGGCAGAGAGGGAAAGGCAGATGGAAGGATCCCAGGGCGACAGTGATGAAAAGAGGCCCGTGGCCCAGCAGAAGGCCCTGTACTCCACAGCCATGGAGTCCATCCAGGGAGGAGCAGCATGTGGAGGATCCATCGATACAGACGACACGTGAGTTCATAGATAAAAGAGTTGTTTGTCTTTTCCCAAAGATCTGACTGTTTTTGCTTTTTCTTTTATGAACCTAATCAAAGTTTGATCATTATATTGCCCTTGCATTAGATACTGGTGATGAACTAAAGATGTGGCTGTTAAAATAGTTTTGGAAAGACTTTATAGTATCTCAGCAACATTTGTTCTTTAGCTCACACTGAAAAGATTTCTTCAGTCCTTACTGAAGAAACCTTTTGAATGACAGATATTCCAGTCTGAGAACCTTCAAGGGGTTAGAGATTAAATGGTCAAAAGGGAACCTTTTTAGCGACAAAGGGATTTGATAAACAGATTGAGTTGTACAGCTTCTATTGTGTGATGTAGTTTTACCTGCTCTTTCTTTCTCACTCTCGTATTTTATATTATATTATATTCCTTTAAATGTAAACTCTAAAATCTGACCAAACTAATGATAGCCCAAATAAATATGTAAATATGTTTCCAACCACACACAGTTATATATCAGTCATTACTTTGTACAGCTTTGGCCTTGTGCATAGGTCTCAGGTATTTATATCAAAACCCAAACTATAATTGAACATGCAACACTGATGTTGCCAGCAATGGCCCTCTGCTCACTTGACTTTCAAATCCCCATCTTAGTGTTAAAAGCAGCATGCTTGTCATCAGAGGATCGCTGGTTTGAATCTCTGCCACGACAGGATTGAGGTGTGTTGATTGCGAAATTACTTTTTCTCCCTTTCCAGGATGGGTGGAATTCCAGCTGTCAACGGTAAGGGGGAGAGACTTCTTCTGTACATCGGGATCATTGACATCCTGCAGTCCTACAGGTGATTGTTCTGTCTGTCTATCCACCCACCCACCTATCCATTCATTCATTATAGCATTACAGTAAAAGCTCACAGATCTTAACCTTTGGTATTTGATTATGTTTCTATCTTGACTCAGAGCTTGCAGGTCTGATAATAACTCTGCTTAATTTCTTTGAAGTAGGAACTAGTGCAGACATGGGCCCGGGGGCCAGATGCGGCCCGTTCAGCTTTTTAATCTGGCCTGCCAAACCTTTCCAAATTATATAATTTATTTATAGCAACATTATATTTGTGCCTTTTACCTAAAATACTAATTTTCTCAATAAATGGTGTTTATGCACGACTTTAACATGTCGTTTATCTTAGTTCACACAAGCGGCCCGTGAGTCAAAAAGTTTGCCCACGTCTGAACTAGATTCATCACTTTATTAAACTGTACTTTTCTTTGTAGGCTAATCAAGAAACTCGAGCACACATGGAAGGCTCTGGTTCATGATGGGGTGAGTTTGTAATACTTAATGGTGTATGCATTTGGCAATTTAGTGCTCAGTATAAGTCTGTGATTTTGCCCTTCACTCTCGGCTAATGAAGTCGAGCTTAGTAGTATTATTTTTGACCAAGCAAAAAAATCTACAGTTTATTGCTTACTTTTCTGTCTCTTTGTTGACCTTACAGTGCATTTCTTCCATGTACTTAAAGTACATTGTATATACAACGGCTTTTTAGGAGCTGAAAGATGTTTATCACTGTTTCTTCAATTGACATTTGTACAAAAAATACAGATATTCACATTTAGTAGCTTAATTGTAAGTAATTAAATACTCATTTACATCATTGGACTAGTATTAATGCTGTATATACTAGTATTGGTATTAAAATGACTAATGATTACCAACAAACATTACAGCTGTGTAATTGAACAAAGTTATAAAGAAACCTTATTAAAAAACCAAAGTGTATAGAAATAAAGGTTTTCCTCACCAAAGGTGAACTAACATCACTTGTTCTTTCAACCTTTAGGGGCACCAGGCAACATCTGTCAGTCTGCTGCAGCAGAATAATGAGAAAACATCGGCGTGTCTGATTTTTTTTTTTTTGTCCTCATTTTTATGTGTGTGTGTTGTCTGATAGATTGACCCAGAGAATTGACTCAATGGATTAGGACACCAGGGGACTAATAGACTGTTAATCCACCGTAAATGCTGCCCTCATCATTTTATCCTAGCCACCTTTGTGTCAGTAATCTCTCTGTCTGTGTCTCTCCTCAGGACACTGTGTCCGTTCACCGTCCAGGCTTCTATGCCGACAGGTTCTTGAAGTTCATGAGCAACACTGTTTTCAAGAAGAGTTCGTGTGAGTGAATATTTAACAGCCCCACACTGCCTTACATAGTCAGAATGAACCGTGTGGAAAGAACCGCGAGTGCAAATGTCAGTTGCTTCGTGTCTCCTTTACTGCTGAGCTTTGACAGAACAATCACAGACGGGGGAGAGACTGCCTTATTAGGTGCTTCTCTGTGTTATGTGAAAGAACACCATTAGTTTGGTGCATGATCAGCTTTTCATACATGGAAAGAATTCACAGAAATACAGCTGTAAAAATAGTGTCTTTTTTTATATTTTACTATGAATTTGCTACAAATGCATCACAGAGCAGACATCTTTAGAAAGAGAGGGATGATTATTTTAAAGTAATCTTTCCCCGGTTGAAGTCAGATATTTTAGCTGTGCTACCTGTTTTACCAAGTTAACCACGTTTGTTTTTCTATGTCCTCCCAGCTCTAAAATCCTCTCCATCCAAGAAGGGACGTGTCTCACTGATGGTGCCTAAGAGTACGGGTCCTGGTGCAGCCTGGTCAGCGAGTCAGCTGCTCTCTGAGAGAGATGAGAATATCTATGACCTGAGAGGAGCACACAGTTTCCCAACACTGGAGGATGAGGGTGAACAATGCATGTACCGCAACATATACAGTGACAAAGACAACCAAAGAATTAACCCAAACCACTCATTTACCAGAGAGTAGGGAGTTGTCAAAAATAATATAAAGATATATGTCCATATGACATGGTAGCTGTCTTCCATACGACTAATTTCACTACGTTATTAAGGAAATCCAGTAAACCTCTAACCTGCTATAAAAGGATAATTGAAATGTTCATTTCTGTCTCCTTCAGGGCGACCAGACCTTCTTCCATGCACTCCTCCATCATTTGAAGAAGCCACCACGGCCTCCATCGCCACCACTCTGTCCTCAACCACCTCTCTGTCCATTCCTGAAAGATCTCCCTCTGACACAGCAGAGCATCCTCGCTACAGGTGAACAACAAGAATTGGTGTGGGCTGTTGGTGTTTCCACTGTAGCCTCTGTTTTGTTATTGATCATCTAGGTAAAGCGAATACTACTTTTAAAGAAATGGTGGTACTGTAGGAACAAAAAAAATCACATCTTCTTTTGACTGTTTTGGACATAAGGATTACTGTATTTTCCGGACTATAAATTGCTCCCGATTATAAATCGCACCAGCCAGTGAGAGTGCCCTCTAGTGGCTGTCATCGGGCAAAAAATGAACATGTACAATTATAAATTTTAATATATACTGTTGCAAACCCAGCCAGAATGAAAAAAGGTGCGATATATAGTTTAGAAAATATGGTATTATGATCTGATGTCAGTCATACCATTTTGCAACTGCATCCGTGGACAGACCTTTTCTGTTTTGTTGTGTTCAAATTAAATTCAGTGAATCTTTAAATAGGCAAAAACGTTCACATAGTAGTTTATTCATGTGGAGATTTACAGACTCACAGGTGAAACACTGCCTGTAAGCTGGGAGCTAACAGTGTCCTCTGTTCGCAGGCGGCACACCCAGTCTCTCAGCCACGATGTGAGGTGAGTCGAGAGAGTGGATGTTACACTTGGACTCCCTCAGCTGTTTCCATGATGTGTTGATGTTTTTACAACAGTTCAGTGTAGGAGTGTGTGTGTGTTCATGACTGGGCTCTGTGTGTGCGCGCATGTTTCCTCACCAGCGGTTCGTTCTCTGAGCCCTCGTTTCTCATATGTGGTGTGTTTGTCTGTGTCTAGAACCCAGGAGGAGCTGCGTGTGCGTGAGGAGGATCAGCAGACCATCAGAGTGGAGGTGGAGTTGAAGAGACCTGACAGTGAGCCCACATTCTCTGTTCCACAGCTTTCACCCCAACCCAGGTGAATAAAACAACTAACTCGGGTCTCAGTTAACCCTCTCTCCTTCACCAGGTACGATTAATGACAATTTTAAAAACTCTTGAAGAGCAGGAATTAAATCGTTATTGACATCTCGTGGCAAGCCAGATTTGGGTGGCCAAGAGGGCTGTGGGCTGGTTGTGGTCTGCGGGCTGAGGGTTTTAGTGCCCCGTCTAGATCTATACTAATCCTTCACCAGTGAATATTATTCTGATCTTTTTTCTTTTTCTTTTTTTTGTATTAGGAAATTCATAAATTGAAGAAAAGCCATGTTGTCTGTAGACTAGACATGTGATAAGCTGCTGAGCTGCAGTTAGTCCATGAACACCTCAACAATCTACACTGTTTGGGTCAGTTTATAATGACACAATAAAACATCTTTATTTATTTCTGACCTGCACACAGACACTTACACAAAGCACCTCATTTATTTTGCTTTTGAAGGATCCTATTGTGGGTGAATAAGTGCTGCAGGTGTAAGTTTATAGGAGTCCACATATGTGTAATATGTGCATTTGATGTAAGGAAGTGTGAGGCCAGACATGAGGGCCCCTAGTATTTGAAGTAGGGCAGTAGGGCAGTAGGGCAGGAGGCCTGCAGGCTGAAGCCTTTCCACATAAGTCTAAGTTGACCTGACACTTCACTTTTATCCCCGGTTTTTGGTTATGGTTAGATTCAGATTGACATGGAAGTGAAAATGTTAAGCTTTCGACTTGTGTGAAACGGTTAAGGTGATTAAAAAAAAACATTGATGACTAAGCTAATAGGAAATCAATTCCAAACATGACCGAATAGCAGATGCAGTTCAGCAGCGGTGAGCCTCATGTTTCAGCAGGGTTCATGACTATTGAGGTCAGGGAGTGGTTGCTGAGGGAAACCAACTGAATAATTTGGTCTGATGCTGACTAGACATATGGCCAAGGGTGTCTGGAAAGGAGTGGGTGGAAGGGGGAGTATTTGGCTTAGCATTACAAAGCTGAGCAGACAACAACATTAACTATCTGTGCAGCAATCCTACTTGGATTAAATCCAGGTAGAAATTAGACAGTGAAAGATACAGCCCAATAGAGAGGGCGATGAAACAATAATAGACAGTTGAAATGGGAAGTCAGAAACATGACAGTGGTAAGATTTGGTATTTTACCAGGAAACAAATGATAGTGTGAAATACACCCTGTCCATCACAGCCATCAGTAATCATTCACTTTTTGAGATGAGAACACCAGCAAAAAGACTTTTTTTATGTAGAGTCGTAACCAAATGCAGACCTGGATTTAATGTGAATATTAAAAACTCCTGACATTGCTAAATGTACCAGAGTCCAAAAAGAATTTGAGCTGCACATGCTCAGCTTGCAAATCTTTGGGCTTAAGCAGCAACACCCACACATGGAGCGTTTAAATGTTAGTGTAAGTTTCTCTGAGCCAAACGCTCTGTCCTGTTTTTTTCTGCACTGGTGCAGGAAAGTGGATTTGTCAAGTGAGCCAATTAAAGGCTCTTACTGTCTGCAACTGCTGTGTTGGTGCCTGTACCTGTGGAAGTTATTTTCTTAGTTTTACCCAGCAACATGGTTCCACTGTCAATGTGAGACAAATAAAGCAGACTTTATTTTTAGGGAGACTCACACGCAGACCTTGTTATACCTGTAGTAAGTCAAAAATGACAGTATCCTGTTGTAATCTAGACCAGGGGTGCCCAATATGTAGGTCACGGCCTACCAGTAGATCACAGAGGGAGTGCTGGTAGATCATAAGCAATTAAAATAAAGTAGATTAAAATATAAATATAATTCTACAGTGTGTAGTAGTGACCATGTACTGTAAGAATCTAATCATGTTGTACCACACATGAAAATCTTAATCTTAAAGCTGCTCTTCAGCCTGGTCATTTGGACTGTAGCTCCGGAGCCAAAAAAGTGTGGGCAGCCATGGTCCAGAGAATGACAAAACCATTCTGACTTTTATTTTTTTGTCTCTTTGTATTTTTGCTTTTTTAAATAGTGCTACAATGACTTAGGATAAAAATCCCAAAGTCATTGTTGAGTTCTTGAGCACACAGAATTATCTATTTATTTATTTTCACTAAATAGATTTAATTATGGTGACCTACCTGTGGTCATACAATTGCTTTTATTCACTGCTGTTCTACCATGACCAGCCTTGCATTGTACACAGCTGCAGCTCCTATAGGTCAATTTAAATTCAAATTATCTTTGGATCTGTCTAAGGGGTAGGGTGGTGGCTTGGTGGTTAAGGAAGTGGTCTTGGGTCTGGAAGGTTTCAGGTTTGAGTCCACCAGCTACCAAGTTACCACTGAGGTGCTCTACGCACTAGCTACCAAATTACCACTGAGGTGCTGTACGCACGGCACCGTCTCCACTCACTGCTCCCCGGGTGCTTAAAGCTGTTCACTTTGGTGATGGGTTAAAAGCAGAGGTCACATTTGGTTGTGTGCAGTGGTGTGCTGTGTCAAATTATTCACTTTGACTTCACTTAATGTGTGAAACTCTTTGTCTAATTCTCTTCAGTGTTGTTAAAGAAGAAGCTCCCGAGGCTCCTGATGCCACTGCTGCAGAATCCACCCCGAGTTCATCGGTACCTGAGGCAGCCTTATCCTCTTCAGCCTTGGCCGCTGTCTCCCTTGCAGGTGAAGGCGAAGAAGCTACATCCACATCCAAAGTGGTGGTGGCCGAGTGCGACCAGGCCAGTCTGTTGTCCGGCTCAGGCTGCACCAGCCAGGCTTCGGTGGACGATGACGATGATGTGCCAATCACAGATATCTACTTTGTAAGTCCTTCTGCACACACACATGCAGTCGAACATGAACGTATAATTTTCTAATGATATATGCTGTAGATAGAATGGTAGCTAACTATCTTATCTAATGTTTTTACTGAAAGCAAATATACACTTCTGTTACGTTGATAAGTTTATTTTTAGTGAACCGTCAAATCTTTCCAAGATTTAAAAGACAATGTTTCATAAAGTCACTCAACTGCGTTGTGTGATGCCCCACAGCCGAAATGCTGACTTCAAGAACCACAAACAGAAGACTGGTATGAGAACCAGAGCATGCGTGGTTGCAGCGTGATGTGTGCAGTGTATTAGTTAGAGGGCATTTTGGGAAATCTTCCTTTAGCATTGTTCTTGTTAAGCTTTGAACATAATGTCTAACACTGCTGGAGATCTCACTAATATACGTATGTATATGTAGGCTCTACAGAACCTCATATAAACCACACCAAATATAAGCCACACCTCAGTGAGTTTTGTGCTTTTACAGAGTACATACAGTATGTATTTATATATTTTGCCAAACAGCAGAGTAGAAGGAAGAAACAACCTGAAGCAACTCACTTTTAAAAACATGTGCTTCTTTATTAGAAAATATATGGCTTGGCTTTTTTATTGAGTCGAGCTGCCTTCTCCATACACACACACACACACACACACACACACACCTGATTGATGCAACGATAAGTGCTAATAAAGGAAGTAAAACTTTGCACAATAGACAAAAAACTCTACATTTAGTAGCCATGTGTCGTAAAGCTGTAAATATTGAATTTCAAGAGGTTAAATATTCCACCACAAATCTGACAAATCACAAAGTATGTGAAGAGCAGTGTGTTTTACTTCTGCCTGTGTTGCTAACAGTGCTCAGTCTGTTCCCTAATACAGGATGTACACGGGTTCATCACAGTATGACCACACACTTGATGTAATATGGCAAGCTGTGAGCTGCATTAACAAAACTCTTATTTATTAACCCAGGTGTATAATTATCAGTTAGACAATGTTCAGTAAGTGTATTGAGGATATTTATACAAAATACGTCGCTGTATTGGATCATAGTCGTATTTCCACATTTCCTGAACTTTGCGTCAACCTTATTTTTAGTGAAAATAAATAGCCCTCAACAACAACTGTGAAACATCCTTTCTTTAGTAACACTCATATGATGACATGAAGCATATTTCCTCTTGTGTCAATCATTTCTCCATTGTGCGGTGTTTTGCATTTTCCTCTTTGGTTTGGGGTGTTTGAGAGTTGATGAAAGCATGTCATTCTCCTCTGTTCCTGTCTAATGTGATTGTTCACACAGCTGCCAGCGGGCTGAGCCTTTTGAAGTTTGCTTGTTTTGAGTCCACAGGAGAATGGACTGAGGTGAACCAAGCTGCCAAAGGATCGTGTTGTGTTGGCAGGTGTAAGTGTGGCCTAAAGCTCAGCTATAAATGAATGGATGAGTGTCGGGTGTAGCCCAGAGAAAAGAGACACTGATTGTCGTAAGAGGTAGATGTGTGTTCTTAGCTTCACTCCTTTGGGGTGTCCTCCTATCAGGAATCAAACACCCACTAAAGTGGCACGTGAACTACGTAAGAGGTCGGTCAATGAGTTCCAGCCCAGAGCGGACCTAATGGCTCAATACAGCTTTCTCATGTCTAATTCTGCAACTTGGAGTATTAATCTCATCACTTCTTTCCTCATTAAGCATGCGACAGGCGGCTGTTGCTGTGGCGATACTGTCCTTGTTTACCACATGTTGAGCGTTTGGGCTTAGGCATCAGATCGGACAGACTATAATTATCTTATTCGATATGGATCCTGAGTATCGGAGCGACTCATCCCTAGTTGTAACACTGACTGCTGCTAAACCGTTGATACGTTTGGAGTATGAAAAGTACACATATATAGTACCGTATTTTCCGGACTATAAGTCATATATATATATTTTAATGTATAAGTCGCACATGAGTATAAGTCGTAAACCCAGCCAAAGGATAAAAACAGTGGGACTTATAGTCTGCAAGATATGGTTAATATATGTATGTGTGACAAAAAAGCAAAAGTGAACTGACAACATCTTCACCACATTCTTCAGTTTGTGATCCGTGTGTCATCAAAGTCTCATTATTTCTCTTTCCTGACTCCACGCATACATACAACTACGTCACAGTCTTATCCCATAAATGTGGTGTATTGGTGCAAATATTGTGTACGCATTTTTCTTTGTATCTTATTTTTGGTAATTTTTGTCAAGAATTTAAAAGCAATTTTAAAGAAGCAGAATCACATTCTCAACAACAATAAACTTCAGAAAGACATTGTTCACTGTACAGCCATTTGAAAAACTAAAACAGAAATGCTACTTGTTTGAGGGACCTTGGGCAAGTCACCTAGCTGATGACAACCCGGACATTGGGCTTGTTTGCCAGCCATGGAGAAGCAATGCCAGATTCCAGGGGAGTGGCTGCAACATTTTAAATGTGAACTAAAAATTAATTGATAAAATGCCCCCAATTAAAGTCTATAATTGCTTTTTTGTTGATATAGATGTTTCTTATTTGACTAAATACTGCTTAAATTCAACAGTTTTTTTTTATTATATAGTAGCTTGGACTACAATGGACAACAACCAGCAGGCTGCCATTTTTTAACAATAATTTTAACATGGCATATGTCAACTATTGTCATTGTCGTTGTTGTTGTTGTTGTTTTTGTTATTATTATAGTAGTTGCAGTAGTTACCATGTCCTAATGAAGTCTAAATTTTTCTCTACGCTGAATCTCAGTTCAGAGCTCTTATTATGTTAGGAATATAATGTAAATTGTTGGTTAGGTTGTCGTTGTTATGTGTGTTTGTGTGTATGTGTGTGTGTGTGTGTGATGTCACAAGTTCCCACAAGAGACATCTTTCTAAATTATTTAGGAACTATCAAAAATCCCAACATTCACTTTTCATGATCCTGTCCCCATCAGCCTTCACCTCAGTGCTCTGCCACAGCCAGCTGCCTCCTCAGCCTCCATCTCCATTCTTCTTCACTGTACCGTCTCCTTAATTATTCAAAATATGAAAAGCCTCTATTCTGCTCTTCCATCCTCTCCTAACCTTCACATTTTGTCAGCTACTGTTTGTGTCCTGTGGTTCTGCTCATGAGTCGTGATGAATGTAGTGGACGGGCAGCATGTTCATCTGTGGGTGGGGGGGGGGTTAGTCTATCGGTTCATCCAACAGTATATCTGTTTTTACTCGCCTCACCACATCCAAGTGTTTTCTATTTTCACCCCACTGTGTGTGTCTGTCCATTTCGTTGCGTTGTTTCTCCTCTCCTCACCCCTCTGTCTTCCATCGTCACTTTTCACATCAGGTTTTGTTTTCTTTCACATTGCATGTTTCCCTGCTGTTGTCAGTTTCCTGATGGGAGGACCTGGGTGGTCTCTCCTGTCCGACTGAGGAGGAGATGCAGATCCAGGAGACCAGTGAGTGAGTTAGCAGTAGTTCAGGAGCTAGCGCCTGGTAGTTGTTGGTTTGTTGAATGGAACATACAGGTTACAGCTGGCACATGTGTATTTCCTCTGCAGGCCTAGTAAGTGCTGCCCACAGAAAAGCCTTGTTCCTACTTACACAGTGGGTCTCTGTCCCAACAGTTCTGGAGGTTTTAACAGGTTTCAACTTCAGTATATTTAAAGGGAAAAAAAATGTTTCACAGTCTCGAACATGAGTTCAGTTCAAGTATTAACTAATTGATGATAGTTAAGTTGCATTTGAAGAAAATACACTACAACATGTCTAGGTGCAAAAACAATTTAATATTTTTCATTATAAATATTTTCATACTGCTCAGTCCTGACCTGCTGTCATCCTTTCATTAGTCTCCTGTTGAGTATTAGGGTGAAGTGTGCGGATAGGTCACAGTACTGTACAGTACCTACCCTCGGGTATTAGTTAATGATTCAGTAGGCTCAGGTGTGATATTAAAACATACAGTTATTGTTTATTTATTCAGCCAGTGAGCGTCTCTTTCTGTGTGTGCACCACCTACCAATATAACAGATGATAGAGAAAAGGGCTATTGACACTGTGACATTGTGCTAGACAACTGGTAATGATGAAGAGTAGTTCTGTATGTAGGAACACTGGATTCACACTTGTACAAGTAAAAAAAAAAATTATATATATGTATATATATAAACATGAGGTAGTTGTGGATTTATGAATCAGTCATACATGCGTCTACATATGTGTATATATAGATTATATACATATCCATGTTTGTATACTCTAAACATATATATATACTGTATGTATATATTTTCATGTTTTGGATTAATCATAAATAAAAACATACTTTAACAATAAACATATTTCTTGTCAGTTTAGGAATAGTGCTGTTTTCTAGAATGGTGCTTAATTACATTCACAAGTCATCATGGTCGGTTGTGTTTAATCCATAGCAACCATTTGATTAATCAAATGCAGAATGTTAATCATTTAACAGCCCAAATACAATATATATGGTGACGATCACCCGAAAGCAGACAGACTGGTTTATTGGTTGGTTTTATTGTTTTCAGAAGAGAAACAAAGCATTTTTGTTTACTATGTTACTTAAAGCGATGACGCCCTTTGCGTCTCACTGTCGACCTCCTGGCAATGCTCCTAATCCCACCACTCAACCCCTGCTCTGTGCTGATGCTGTCACTGACTTACACCTCACTGTCATAGAACAGGGGCCAGACTTTACTGTACATTAGAGCAGGAATCCAACTGAAGTCCACTTTACCACTACTGTACAGCCAAGTATGTTTCTGTATGTACATCAGTGTGGTGTCTGCTAGCTGCTGGATGACTTAGCACAGCATCAGTCCTGTAAGTGCCACAGCAACATTTCCTTCTTCATACATTCCTAACTTTCATTTCCTGTCTTGTCCTCTCTTGTCCTACTATCTTTCTCTCCTGCCTGCCTGTGTTGCTTGCCTCTGTGCCTTTGGCCTTTCCTCTGTCTCTCTGGCGCCCTCTGCTGTGGTGGATGTGTAAAAAGCAGCCGGAGGACAAGACCTGGGTGTACTCTCCACTACACTATGGCTCAGAGTCTAAAACCTCACCAGATGGTGATTGGGTAAAAGAGACAGTAAGTGAGAAGCATCAGACCTGACTGTTGAGTCCTGGATAGTCTGCCTCAGTGTCCGTGAGTGTTCGTTTCAGTGTGTGAGTGTGAGTGAGGTGCTTTTAATTGTTAAACTAAATCATGTGTCCATAAGTGCCTCTGTATTACTGAACATATTTCTGATCATAGGCAGGCATGAATTAACCATGTTGCAGAACCCCAGTCAACCTACTGAATGTCAGTCCAAGAAACTGCTTACATTTTCTGCGTCAATCTCTTTTTTCAGCATGTTACTTTAATTTATCAAAGAGAAATTACTTGTCCCTTTTTAAGGGGCTACCACATGGTTAGGCTGTAAAACCATTAAGTTAATTTTCCTAAGGTGAAGCAAATATAATTAGTAAATAACTACGAGCGTTACACTATGCTTGTATTATTATAATTTGGATATGTGTATATGAGATTGTATTGAGAGCCTGGATGGTTGGTTGTCTTTATATACTGTATATGTGGCCGTGTGATGGACTGACAAACTGACCAGGGTGTATGCTGCCCTCACCTGTTGGAGCTGAGATTGGCGGTAGGGTAGCAGAGTGACATTTTATGATACAATTTTATCAAGAAATGCGCTCGGTTGTTTGGTATTTGCTCCGCCAACAACAAGTTTCGGCCAAAAGTTTGTCTGCACGTCAGGCCTTCTCCTGACGAAAGGGGACAATTCATTCAAGATTCAGAAAAGTTTATATTGTAGCCCTTAATAATCTTTAATATCCGTGCTAAAGCTAAGTCCGTTACCGCTCTTAGTTTGTATTTGTCATGACGATTGCCAAACACTTGTAGAATGCAGCCGGTTGTGCTATCCTTGGCCAGTAGACGGCGATATTCTGCAGAAAATAAAATTGAAAAATAAAACGGCTTATTTGGTTAAAATGGAGGAACAATACTGGGCCTTGAATACATGAATGCTCTTTGGACTGCAACGCTGCCAAACAACAACAACAACAATAATAGAGATAATAACACTAAACATAACACTTTAGTGATATTTTAATAAAAAATACCATATTGTAAAGAAAGCTTATTGAGTTTGTTGCAATTGAGCTATGAAAATAAATGTTACAACATGAGTAACTCTCAGCCATAAGCTTTTACTGTTTTCCTAAATTTTTACTTTTCCTTGCCTTTCTTTATAAATCATCAGCATGAGAAAGAAAGACATTTTTACTAACTCCTGGTACTGGGTCCCAGACTAGTACTCGCACTTTTACTGTGTTGTTCCCCAGAAATAAATTATAATGTAACTTGTATTTATTGATGACTAGAACAATGTTCAATATAAAAAAAACCCTATGGCATTTACAATCCTATTTAAATTAGGAGTTGATGACAGATTGCTGATTCTCACCTTCCAAAACCTCTCTGCATTAATATGCTCTTACATTCATGCTCTTTTTATTTGTTTTGTTCAATTTTGTTGTGTTTCTTAAGCACACTTTGATGACGCTGGAGTAAAAAAAGAAATCTTGGTGACCTCTGACCCAGACAGTGTTAATACTCTGGTTTGAAATGTCCATTCTGTGTCTCCAACAGTAAAAGCCTGAGAGGCGGAGAGGCGTCAACATCTCAGTGGAGAGGACTGACTGGTCTTAACCTGACCTCAGCTGTAGCAGCAGGATCCCTCCCTGGCTGAAAACAATATACGTTTTAAGTGTGATATAATGCATATTAGGGTGTGATCTTATATGTTTACATACAAGAGCAGTCATTTTCTGTATGTTTTGAGTCATGCAAGCACAGCCCTCCAACAGATGACAGGCTCTTCTACTAACTCTGCATTTAAAGGCGTCATGCCTCTGCTTTACTCACTCTGGATTTTAAATTTCTAGTTTGTTCTTCTTATTTCTTTATACATTCAACATGATCACATTCTAGGTGTGTTTGTTCATCAATTATCGGATTGAGAAAATGCTCTTTTTACGTGTACAATCCTGTAGGTTTGAGTTTTTAAACTACAAACCGCACCTTTTCTAACACTTGAGTTTCCTGTTTTATACTGACGACTGTTTCTCGTCCACGTAAAGCTGTGGAAGAGCTCCTTGAATTTGCCACTGAAGAACATGATGGCTTATACTTCCGAGGATTGAAGACTTCAGTGCGGTAGCTCTCACTACCTCTTAAGTCGGCTATCATTTGCATTCCGCAAATCTGCATGTCAGTGTGCCACGTGCAGGTGTCTGCTCAGTGATTGCAGTGAGCGGTGAAGACGTTCACCGGTCATGGAGGGCTGTGCTTGTGGTCATACAGTAGATGACCAGTTAAAAGAGAAACTTCCAAACATAGTACTGTATGTCATTCTCACCGTTCCTGTATTTTAGGGTTTAAGAGGACATTATTTGACATTTGAGCTGATGGTGATTAGTTGTGAAAGTCCTGGTAGTTTCAAAGTAATATCAAATGGATTTGTAACATTATTTCTGTTTTAGTTTTCCTTTATTCCGAGTCCTATCTTCATCAGTAACTGTTGCTTTATAGCTTTTTTTATTTCCATCCAAAGTCCTTTTTATTTGATGATGAGCTAGTAACTGCAGATTTATTTTCTTTTCCTAATTTGTTTACATTTTACATTTTGTCACGTAATTAAGGTGTCAATGCATTTGTCTTCATAACTGAGGTTTGTATACATATATATGTCAATATATATTTGTGTATATGTATATATATATATATATATGTATATAGTGTATATATACATATATACACACTGTATATGTATGTGATCATAAAATTCAAGTGAGAAGCAGCATCATTTTCCTTTAAACTCATGTTCAAAGTAGAGTAGTGTGTTTCCACAGCTGGTGGTAAACACTGAGGGCAAAGGTGTGATTTGTTTTACCTGATCTTGATCTTTTCTGGTTGAAATAAAATATCACTGATGGGTTTTTTTTAAACCTTTCATCACCTCCTCACAGCAATTCCAGTGACAGGATTTTGTAAATGTGTAAATGTACATGTAAATGTTGTGATGTCCTACCAGTTGTTTGTATATTTGAATGAACACACTGCGATATTGCAGTGATGACTTGTTGAGACACACTGAGTTAATGGGTTGATTGTTGTTAGCACTTAAAAAACAAGTGACAGAGGCCAAACAACCATCTTGTTGATAGAAATGTTCAGTTTAAGCTCACGCAGCAAAAAAAAAAAAAAAAAATTGTTAAAAGATGGTGAAGTGGAGCAATCTTTGTAAGCTAAGAGTTGACTATTAGTCTCTGCGTGACTGTGTCTGAGTTGTTGGGTCTGTCACCTTTTTGGTTTATATTTTTGTGTTTGTGTGTAAGGGAGGACAAATTGTTGTCAAACTGTAAACTAGGGACCACATAGTTGTCATGATGTGCAATGGCCAGATGTCATCACGTAACTGTTGTTCATCACATCACTCGGACCATAGCAGCAATATTCTGTACAGTAGAGCTTTTCGGTTCAGTTTCGTTGCCTTATTTAGAGATTTAACACACACACACAGGCCTGTTGTTGATATTTCTCACGTGTTATATTTATTTTATTTTTCCGTAGCTGTGTTCCTGAGAATGTGTACATAAAATATAAATACATATATAAAGATATACAAATATATTTTCCATTTAAATCTGAGAATATTATTTTTATTTGCTTTTATTTTTTGCTGCTGGGGTTATTACAATCTCACACAATTCCTTGTATTATATTCCTCAGTGTGTGTGTATAATGAAATGCAGCTGCTGTGTATTTCCGGTCTGTAAAACACAGCTGTATATTTTTACCAGTACCCTCCCCCCCCCAAAAAAAAAAAAAACACGTAGTGATTTATGGGTTTTACTGTACATGGAAATTAATGGGATTCTTCCAACTGTTCAACTGTGTTGTGTTTGTGTTTCCCATTTACTGTGTTCCGTCATCCACTAGGGAGAGTCCTTCAACGAGACATAGCATGACTTCCAAATGAATATGCATATCAGAAGTGTGTATTTATGTATACCTGTGTATATTCATCTATTTCTACTGGTGGATAAATAGATGATGGTACGTGTGTGCGCGCGTGCGAAGAATCAGAAAATGAAATAAAGCAATTCTATCTATTGTTCCAGTAAATGGCTCAGTATGTATGTATTTATTTTGAATAAATTATTATTTATTAATAATTTTTTCCCAGATTTCTCTAAAACAAAAAATAGAACACCTCAATGAAAATTGTTCGTTTAAAGTATTTCTTTCATTTTGAAAACGTTAATCTATAGCTGTATAATTATGTTGCCTTTCAGTCATTTCAGTAGGGAATACACATTAAATGGGGGACATAAATATACTGTATTAGCAACTCAGGGCAACAACTGAAACTAATCAGCTTCCATTGTTGGGTGGTACAGGTATATCTAAAGATACTCCACTATATATTAGACCTAAGCAGGAGCAAAACACAGTAGAGGTGAAGGCCTCAGATAAACCAACAGTAAATAGTGAGCCAAACTGCTAACATCTGCTGCTGGTTATTCTGTAGCCAATACTGTACTTGGTTGATGATGACATATCTGACCCTCTGCCATTAGATGTTTGACCTGCAAGGAAATGATATGCAAAGTTTTCAAGACTGAAACAACTTTTGAAACACAGATGGGTGCAGCGGACCAAGTGCCAGCACATGAATCACAAAGGCTGTCATGGGCAGATACAATACTTTGACAAAAAGTGAAAGCAACATTTGAGCAATAAAGAGCCAGAAAAACAAAAACAGTGGATTGAAAGACTTATGAAAGTGAAAATTATTAAAATCGTGTTTTAAATTAAAACAAGAATTAAATCTTTAGATCTACATTCCACTTGAAATAAAAGGTATATAAACTTAAATAAACAAAATGGGTATTTTATTACATATTTGAATCATCCCTGGGTGAATTAGGAAAGGTTATGTTAGAATATTATGTTTATGTAATGTTCAAAAAACGTCACCGTTAAAATGTAAGCTAGATAAGATTAATGTAATATACATGATCAACATTTAAAATTAAGGAAAAAACAAAACAAACTAAAAACACATTTTTCCTCACAAAAACAAGTTTTCCTATTGTGGGCGTTGTAAAGAAGGCTGCGGTTCTCCGATACTAAATAAGGCAACATGGTTTGCTTCCGCTGACAAAGTCTACAAAGTACACAAAATGCCATAAGTAATTAAAACCATGTGAAAAACTAAGAAATAAAAACACACCACAATGTGAAGATGAATGAGAGCAAGAGTTTGATTAGTTCGCAGTGAGTGATTTGTGAGTGATTCGTGAGTTCAATGTGAATAAATATTTAATATGACTCGGTAGTCACGAGTCACTAATCTTCGTTTTGAACGAATCACTCGCGAACGACACATCACTAGCGCTCTGGTTGTTCAAACAAACATTTGGTCGTCATCGAGTGTGTGTGGATTTCACGGGGGGAAACTACACAATGATCGAGTGTGTGTGGATTTCACGGGGGGGAAGAAAACTCGACACAAACAAACGTTTTACATTTAAACTACACAATTAAGCGGTTTTATGTGATGTTCAGCCATTTTATGGTCATTCGTGCGTTAGTTCTTTTCTCGATAAACTTTTTTGTCGGTAAGTTATCCTGCTAGCTTGTGTTTAGCGCTGCGGTCCAGCGTTTTCATCTGTGTGGACACTCAATGCACGGCGGGTGGCTCGTCCGGAAAAGACAAATGTTTGAAAATGCGAAAGGTAAGAAATAAACATTGAACATAATTTTCTGTTATAACACGTAATTTAATTCGTTAAGTTGTACAGTCTGCTTTTCGTTCGGGTTAAATGTAATTTCTTCTGAGTTGACCGTACTGATACCACAACATTGTTGCTTTGTCGTCAATTATCTATTAGCACACATCTACAAATATTTATGCATTAACGATAAACTACTCTACAGGACCTTTAAATTTACGTCACTTTCCCTCGGTAATTTGCGCAGGCGGAGCAAGAGCATTTAAATTAAAGCGGAAATATTGCTCTAGTTGATCAAACAAACATTTAGTCGTCCTCGAGTGTGTATGGAATTCAAAAGGGAAAGGTTAACCTGACAGAGAAATGTTTGGCGGAAGTTGTGTGTGACAGCACTCCTGTTTATCCTGACCCAGGTAAAAATGAGACATATTTCACACATGTTAACCAGTTTACAGTCAAGACAGACCACTGGTACACAGCTGTTACAAGTTGCTGTACAGGTTCCCGTGTGATGTCGTAGAATTTGATCTATCAGCCACACTGAGGCGCTGTGTATTGATGTCAATGATGACTGCATTGGTCTCAGTCATTATCACTATGTTTGCATTGTTTATCCTTTACTTACTAATGTGGCACAAATGCTCACTGCAACTGATTGTGTATTAAGTGTCAGTTGGTAAAGGTCAGGTTATACACTGACCTTTTGAGCATTAAGTTACTGGTTTGATGAGTCACTAAAATAGAAACCAGAACTCACTTACTGTACGTAAGTATCTACAGATCCTTTCCAAAAAATTAGAATATCGTGAAAAAGTTGTTTAATTTCCATAATTCCATTCAGAAAGTTAAACTTTCATATATTCATAGATTCATGGGCCACAATTTAATCAATTTCAGGTATTTATTTGTTTATTTTTTACATAATTTTGGCTTCCAGCTCATAAAACCCACAAAAACAGGATTTCAATAAATTAGAATACTGTGAAGAAATCATCAGGGCATGAATGTTTTAAACTGAGTGTCACACACCAATCATCTACTAAACTCAAAGCACCTGCACAGGTTTCCCCAGGTGTTATTTAACTGCTTTGGTT